CGGACCATGTCAGGTGTACCGCCAGTTGGGGGCTTGAAAGACTCAAGTCCAGCGCCGATGTCTGGCCTGACGGCAGCGTCATGTGAGTTCGGGTCCCGGTGTTTAAAAGACAGAGTGATTCATCACGTAAAAAATTTCGCAATGCCTGCCGCGGGTGTTGGTCTGGGCGCAGCCCCAAGATGTGTGGTGAGCATTAAAGTCACCCAGCAATAGAAGAGGCGGGGGAAGCTCGGTCACCAGAAATCTCATTTTTGCCGTCGGAAATGGAATACCAGGAGGTAAGTACAGCGAGCAGACGGTTATTGCACGACGCCCGAAAAGTATCTTAGCTGCAACAGCTTGCAGGTCAGAGTGTAAGACGACGCGCTGGGCAAAGACACTGTGGTGCACAGCCAAAAGAACTCCGCCATGTGCAATTGGATCAGCTGGCGTATCCCGACGCATTACGGTGTAGCTCGGGATACTAAAATGAGAGCCAGGTGCCAGTTTGGTCTCCTGCAGGCAGGCGATGGCGGGACAGCGCTCATTCAGAATGACTCTGAGATCGTGTACACTAGTTCTCACGCCCCTGCAGTTCCACTGTAAGATACTTGTCACAAAGCTAAGAGGTGAGGGTAGCCATTACACACCTGGCTCACCGGCACAGCGCGCAGAATATCACAGTCAATAAGCCTGCAAGGGGGTGCACTAAAAAGGGGTCAAAGTCACACTTTAAGACGCGACACGGTTCAAAAGAACTGGGCTGCGCCCGTTGCAGGACCGGACACCTCGGTCTGGGAGGTACGGCTCGATTCCGCAGAGCGGTGCTCCACTCTGGGCCGAATCCTTGGGCTTCCTCCGTCGGATGGAGACGGAGGACCGGCCGGGGGGCGCTTTGTGCCAGCGTGCCCAATCCTGGGTGGTGGAGGGGGAGGACCCATGGATGGGGCCCTGCCAGACGTCTGAGGACCAGCGGGAGGCTCAACTGGTTTTCTGGGCGATGGAGCACCGCTGCGAGGGATGGACTCCTTACCCGCCCCAGACGTACGGTTCGCCGCCTTTGCCCGTTCTTGTTCAGCCAGGCGCGCCCGCTTGGCATCGCGGGCGCGCCTGTCCGCCTCGTGCCGCTCCAACGTTTCTATCGCCAGCCCACATGTGTTCGCTGATGGAGTCGGAGGTGACGAAGGCAGCGGAGCACACGAAGCGGAGGCGGACGAAGGTGGCGAGGAAACCGATGTGGAGGCCGGTGGAGCCCGCGGGCCACGGCCACGCCGGACCACCGTCCAGCCCTCCTCTCCGGCAGGAGACGGCGGTGCCGTGGGAGTCGGCAACGCGGAGGGTGCCGACCGGCCAGGGGGCGAAGAGGTTGCCAGCACGGTCTCCTTCGACCGCTCCAGCGAGGGAGGGGGAGCCAGGGCTGCCAGACTTGAGTCCAGCGCCTGGTTCGTCGACACAACCGAGAGACCAAACGACTTCAAGAGCGCTACAAACTGAGCAGCGGTCATTTGATCAGTGGAGGTCGGACGTGCGTTGGAGGTCTTAGCTTTTTCGGCGTACGATGTTCTTGGGTGGCTCTCCTCGTACAATGTTCTGGCCTCGCGAAAAGAGATGTTGCGTGTGGTTTTAATGGATATAATTTCTTTTTCCTTCACGTACGCTGGGCACGTGCGGTCGTAAGTCGCGTGCGGAGCCTGGTCCTTGTCACAATTCACACAATGCACTCTCTCTGAGTCGCAAAGTTCCATTGCGTGTTCGGAGGAAGCGCATTTCCCACAGGCAGGCTTGTTGCGACAGTACTGTTTGGCATGACCAAATCGCTGGCAGTTGAAACATCGCATGGGGTTCGGAATGAAGAGGCGCACCTTGACACGTGCGTATCCCACACGTATCTCGGACGGCAAGTCAGGGCGACTGAACGTGAGTATGAGGTTGTTGGTGGGCACCAACTCTCCTCCCCTTCTGACGAGGATCCGTCGAACGGCGGTCACTCCAAACTCCGAGAGCTCCTCCACGATCTCTTCCTCGTCAACGTCACGTAGATCAAAACAGTTCACCACGCCCCTGGACGAATTTTTGGTGTTGTGTGATGTCGCTGTCATTGACACTGTTTTTTCCAATTTACCGGCCCCATCCCGAACACTGTACGAAAATTCAGTTGCTTGCATAGCCCGATTCGCCTCCTGATCACTAGCAAATTCAAATTCTATTTTTCCATCCTGGAGCTTGTCACATCTTACAATTTTTCCAAATTTGTCGCAGCCATTTCTTCTCTGAAACGGTGAGAGGGACGCCAACCTAACCTCTTCACTGTGGAAGACGAGGATCCGTGGTCCGGGGATAGAAGAGTCTTTTCTGCATCCTTGGGTTATCGTGGTCCGACCCCCTTTCGGATGACGGGTGTTTTTTGAGGTAGAAGATGCCATGCAGAAAGGGTTTTTCTTTCGGCACCGGGGCTCCCCACCCACCTCGGAGCCCAACTGGGGGACGGCCCACTCACCAGTTGGTGGTGGTGCCGCCAGGGCTACCTCGGTGCTATACGGGGCGGACGACGCCTTCCGCACGGCCAGGTGTAACCGGGGAGACCCCTCCCCGTCCTGACCATGGTTCAGCGCCGCCGCCCCCTGACCCCTTAAGCCGCTGCGCGCGGCCAGGCGCCCCGAGCGGAGACCCGCAAGGAGCACCTAACCGCAACGCGAGCAACAAGCCGCTAGACCCGTGTGGGGCCCCACGGGCCCCCCACGCCCCCGGATATTCTGGCCAAAGTGGAGTGTTGGGACGCGCCGTGACTGACCCGCACGACGCGCCCCTCAGCCACCAGGATCCGATCAACCCGGGGACGTGGTCGAGGGGGCACGGCGACCCCGATAAAACGAGGATGAGGAGTGGTGATAGGGCCGGATGCGGGAGTGCGGGTAAAGTGGAAGGAGCGGGCGGGACAAGGAGCAGGAGCTCACGTACCGCCAGGGTCGCTACGCCCTGAGAGGAACAGCTTGCGCTGTCCACCCGTTACCGGAGCTGGGACCCGAGGGGGCGCTAGTCGCCTACACCGACCGAAGCCGGTGCCCCTGCGGGGATATACTCCTGGCTCTACACCCTACCTGCCGGTAGGGGAGGCCTCTGCCTCTGTCTCTGCTGAGGCAGAGGCCTCCCAGGCAGAGGCCTCCCGCCTCTGCTGCGCCACCCCAACCTATGATTGTAGTGACCACAGCAGACCAAACAACACCAAAGAAAGAAGAGTAAAGTAAGTTGTTGAAAGACGAGCAGTAAGTTGTTGGGCGGGAGAAACAAGGAAATGTTAAAATAAGACTTCAGAAGAGAGGGGTTTTTGGAAGCATACGATATGCGTAAACCAGCGCTCTTGCGACAAACATGCACCATGTGAAACCGCGTTACAAAGTGCTCCACAATCTCCATGCGATTGCGAGCGTGTGTGGGCTGCGGCGTACGTCAGGTTGCGGGAGAACACGTGGTCGCATCATAAAATACACCTGCATGAGCTCCTCTGAAAGTGTTGTATAATTGTACAGGAGTTCATGGCGACTCTTCAGAATGCTGTGTAAGTGAATAGTTGATTGCTGCTGTGTAAAGCCCGGCCTACCTCGTTGTCGAAGCACCATGTGACATGGCGCGCTGAAACCCCCGTAACTCATTGTTATTGCAGCTAACAGCAACAGATGCGGACTTGTCACTAAGTGATTGATGGGAATAAACTATAAATTGCATATAACTGCTTGGGCAGATATTAATGAGTTTAAGTAATGATATACACTGGCATGGCATATTATCTAGAATGATGTGCAGTTCAGCTTACAAAGCAGTGTAAGCAGTGATGCATATTGTTCAGATCCAGTAAAATTTTGATGGAATATACCTGTGCTATTGACTAAAAGAAGGGTTTTTGGCAGATCTGTGTGCAAATTTTGGTGGGGGGAAAGATCTGGGCAGTGCCCTGCAATAGGGCATATGTGTGGGAAAATTGAGCCATTGGTACATTTTTAGGGAAGTATAGGCACCTTTTACTGATCAACATTGCCTGCTTAAAACACACCATTGTGGAAGTCAGGATGCTATTTTATTATGGAGACCCAAGACAGTACTGGCCACATAGCTGTGCATTGGCTGATAGCATAGTATTCTGAACACTTTTTTGCAGGCCTGTATTGCTCTATCTGTAATGTTTTATGTTACATATGCTGTTGTATGATGAAAAGTGTGAAGAAATATGTGGTCTGATTTTTGCCAGCAAGCTGGAATCCTGCCAGCAATGTGCCAACCCAGCAAAATATACTTGTCCTGGCTGCCTGTGGAGGACTTGCAGCCTTCCATGCATCAAGCAGCACAAGGCACAAACAATGTGCACAGGTCAAAGGGACAAAGTGAAGTACAAGCCTATGTCACAACTAAACGATCTTGATATCTTAAATGGTGAGTTTATTACTGACAGATTGTTGTCATCCTTGCATACCATGTAGTCACATGGTTTGTCATGCGTCTGTATGATAGGCAGTGTGCTCTGACTGATTGTCATGTTATCTTTGAGAGGATGCAATTTTTCTTGCTGCCACATTTCCACATATACAGCTCTCCAATCCAGCATAGCTTGCATTTGTTGCAGCGGGCAGTCATTGTATGCTAACATTTGTTTTGGTTGTGGTCATGCATTGCTAGGCTGGTACTTTTGAAGAGGGGCCTAGTTATACCACATTTATTCAAGATCCAAACTATCAATGGGCATTCACCTTCCTTATCATCAGCTGGTGCCATCCACCTCTTTAAGCTTTGGTCTCTTGCAGTGATACCACAGGTTTGTCAGTCAGGGCAGCTTTAGCATGATGACTGTGGAACCACATACAGCTGAGCACCTCATGACATGCTGCCGACCTTATTGCAGACTACCGCCTGCTGGAGGAGCTGGGGCGCCAAGTGGAGGCAGCCGGCCGCAGCGGGCCGGCGCGCAGCCGCCAGGGCGCCGCGCCCCTGCTCCGGCCGTACCAGTACCGTTTGCGGCGCGCCGCGAAGAGGCGCGGCGTGCGGCTGGACTTCCTGCCGGAGGGGTTCGGCCGGCGGCTGGAGAATACCAGCCAGCTGGAGGCGGACACGGGTTGCCTGCTGTGGCGGGTCGAGTGGCGCCTACCACTGGCCGACGCAGTACGCACTGACGACAGGTGCGACTCTAGGGGGCGGCCAGGCGGTGGCCAGGGCTCCTCAAGGCAGTGCCCAGGGCCTGCTCCGGGCAGTGGCCAGGGCTGCTCCAGGCGGTGGCCAGGGCTGTTCCAGGCAGTGGCCAGGGCTACTCTAGGTGGTGGCCAGGGCTGCTCCAGGCAGTGGCCAGGGCTGCTCCAGGCGGTGGCCAGGGCTGCTCCAGGCAGTGGCCAGGGCTGCTCCAAGCGGTGGCCAGGGCTGCTCCAGGCGGTGGCCAGGGCTGCTCCAGGCAGTGGCCAGGGCTACTCTAGGCGGTGGCCAGGGCTGCTCCAGGCAGTGGCCAGGGCTGCTCCAGGCAGTGGTCAGGGCTGTTCCAGGTAGTGGCTACATAGTGATGCTGCAAAGTAGTTAGGAGTGTGTTTGAGTGAGAGGTGCTGGCATCAAGGCTAGCTTTTGGAGCATTGTAGCGCGAGGTGAGACGGTGAGGGTAGCAGGTGATATGGTCTGGAGCTTGCAACTCCACTGCCAGTGAAGTGTAGCCTTCAAGTGTCACCAGTGGTGTGTGTGTTAAGAAATAGCGTACTGCTGACAGCATAGCTCAAGTTGTTGCGGGACGCTTTCTGATCATCGGATCGGTAACGGGCCTGTTGACTAATGGGCCCTGCTGCCGGCGTCGACAGAGTTCCAGACACGTCTCGGCTGTCGGAGGTGCTGGCGCGTCACCTGTCGGACGCGCTGGCGCCCGAGGATCCGCTCCAGTTTTACCGGGCCGCTCTTGAGTCCCGCGCCGTGCGAGTCTTTTTGCAGGCAGAAAGGGTTCAGCAAGGGCACAGGCAAGTGTTCCGTGACCGGCCACTGGAAAGTTGTCTTTTTACTGCTTTTTAGGTTTGAAAGGGAACAATCATGATTTGTTTGTGTGTCTTGTGCGGCCCATATTCGTATTCTAGGGTCATTTTAAGCGATGAATAATTTTAAGCATTGTTTAGAGTAATGTCCTGCGATAGCCTTCAAATGTGACACTACCTGTATGGGTTGTGCTACGCATTTGTATTCTATCTACTTTTACGACCCTGTCTGTGATCCTCTGATTGTGCGGATACGAACGCCATATCGTTGGATTACGCGGGCCCTTTTCAGTACTGCGTTGCATCACACCAGAAAAAATCACTTATGAAAAGCTTCCGCTCGTTGTATTGTTGCCAAACTAGATATATATGCTTAAGTCTGCAGTGACATACGGGAAACATCCTTAAAAACGCCGCAAGCGTAGCACTTCATCAAATGTTTAAGTTGAATAAACCCATAATATGTGCGTATTTTATTTGGCGTTTGGCGTGGCAGTGGCCTCTGCTGCATGTAAGGCGCGGTGCCAGTTGGTCGTGATTTCGCATGCATGAATGCCATCTGAGAAAAATCGTGCTGTTAAACAGTCAAAAAGTCAAGGTCATTATGCATGCCACCCAAGTCACTGTATTTAATTTGTTTGGCTCACGATGTGCGCTACATTATGCACTGGTCTTGCTGGTCATGTGATGTCACAGCCCGAGATTAAATAGTGGAAACACTCGATCATCAATGCAACGGGCACTTCGTACACATTATCCATGAGATACCAGCTGGAGAATTGCGTTCCACCCACAAATTAAGCACCGTCTTTAAGCCGCTATCCTTTATACGTGGCGCTGCGCCTCAACGTACGACCTTGGTCGGACGTTTGGCGTGGCAGTGACGGTTGCCTCGTGGGCCAGGTACATTGAGCTTCCCGTGAACAAGACGCTGGAGGCGTGCCTGAAGGACCGGCTGGTGATCGAGTTCCCGATTCTGGTGGTGACCACCGAGGAGCATGCCGTCCAGTACCGGGAGGACGTGATAGAAGGTGCGTTCGAAGCTTCGTGCGGCTGGTGGTGGTGGTGCGGGCCGCAGTGATTCTCGTGGTGCAGCGGCTTGGTTGTTCGTTTTGGTTGTTCACCCTCAGTCTGTGCTCGTGGCAGTCTGCGCCTTAGTTGTCCGTTGGCGCGTCTGCACCATCTGCGAATGCAGATATTGGATCGTGGGCTGTGAGAGGACCACGAGACTTCGCACCGCAGCAACGTTAGGCCGTACCATAGTAGACGGAATGTCATCACCACGGGGTAAATCACAGGAATATTCTACATTGGAAGATTTGGAAGCAAGCACCAAATATGCTGAAATAAGCGCACCTGTTACCATTGGCATACTTTAAAGTCAAAAAGACTTTACCAGATAGCCTCTTTAGTTAGTAGTTATGTTCTGCAACACGTCATTGTTTGATTAGGTCATGGAATGTTTGTAGGACACTTAGGTGCTGCCAAACTAGCCGTACAAAATGACCATCTTTGCACTCCCTTGGAGTACTTCAAACCCTCAGAGAGCTGACAGTGCTGCGCTGGAAGCGTTTCCAGGCCAAATATCGTAATGTGCTCGTGCTTTGGCCCTGTCTGGCGGTGTTCTTGTGCATTTATTTGTGGGTTTAAGAGACTTACCTGCATTCACATACTCAGATACGTTACTGTTTTCAAGTCACCCTATTGGAAGTCTCAGTTCGGTATTAACTAGCAATTGTGTCCAACTCCTTATATTATTTGTCAACACAAACTTGATTCGTGATTAGAACTTGCACAGCTTGCCTAACATTGATGGAGAGCCAATTGACGTCCACCCTACTTGGGAATCGTGTTCACGGAGGCCAAATCTCAACGGCTCGACGATAGTCTTCTTCCTGGCCAATGACGTGACATCATTGAAATGGCATCGCTCTAGCAGTCATGCATGCTGGAATGGCCTCGAAAAAGTCTGGATGAAATAGTCTAAACATCTTCGTGGGCGCATAGCTAACAAACTAGAGGGTTTCAGGTCTTAGGCAGGGCGGGACTGTGAACTGCACTGAATGATGTTCGGAATGGCTTTTTCAGTTCAAAGCCCCATACAAATGTAGAACACTTTCTTGAATGGGAGTATCATGTCTCGTTTTTTCTTCTTAGACATAAACAATATGACTGACATGGCACAGGACTCCTTAAGGGCTCATGCCTGCTCAGATGTGTGGGTACTTCTGATGTCTGCGTCGCTTTTGGTGCTGCGTGCGGGCGGTCGCCTGTCTTGACATGCCGCGCCGAGACGTCCGTGGTCCGTAAACTAAGTGCGCCGATACCTGTAGCCGCGATGGCATCTGCTCACAAGGCCACCGCCGTCCCGATCATCAGACCGTACTGGCTTCCGTGGTGCTGACGCTCCGCGCTCTTGCCGGCAGAGTCGTTCTTCTCGCTGTGTCGTCAAGAGGAGGAGCAGCGGCGGCGCTCGCGGCGCGCCGAGCGGCGCCGCGGTTCGACCGCGCCCCCCGAGCCGGACGAGCCCGGCCGCAAGGTGCCGCGGCCGCGGCTGGACGGCGTGGCCGTGGTGGCCCGGCCCGAACCGCCGGAGCCGGAGCCACCAACGGCCGAGCCGCAGCCCCAGCCGGAGCAGGCGGCGGCTGAGAAGCCAGCAGGGAACAGCGCCGCCGCCGCCGCCGCCGTCGCCGTCGGGTTCGGGCTTTTTGGTGCGGGGGATTCGGACCTCTCTGACTAACGGCGGGGGCGTTGGAGGGGGGGGGGGGGGGGGGGGCGCTGCTGCCGGGCGCAGCAGGCCGACCCTCAGGCGGGTTTAACGAGGCTGCTGTCGTTGGCAGCCCGTGATAAGCCCCCGGCAAGTGTCGTTAATCAGCCCCGCACTGCCCCTCCGCGGGTATATTGGTGGTCGGCGTTGAAACCAGCCGATATCATTTGCTGAATACGTGACGTTTTGGATCGCTTCTGTTAGGGATTTTTCGGCGGATTTGCGTAATGGTTCGGTATGATGCTGAGTACCGACTTCGAATTCGATTTTTTTCTAAAAGCCACTGATTGGAAGCGAGCGTAGTAGTGTAGGTCAGGCTACTAGCGTTAACGGCCACTCCTTTCGGATCCGTTCAGTGCATTTTCCGCATGGGCTGCGTACGATCATTTAGTTGGCGCATGTTGGCTCGGTGTGACGCACGATGCCATGCATTCAGGTTGGCTCAATGCGATGTACCAACACGATGCGATACATATGTGTTGGCTCGATGTGATGCGGACGGGTTGCCTCGATGTGGTGCGTACGGGTTGCCCCAATGTGATGCATACGGGTTGCCTCGAGGTGATGCCCACTTGGCTGGCGCATGTTACCTTGAGAGGAGGTCATGTCTGGGGTGCTGGATGGAGCCACCACCGCCAGCTTGGCCAAACTCGAGGACGTCGCGAATTAATTAAGCGAAATCGACACCTGTTGTTTGCACGTGGAAACGAAGTGTACGTTCTAGCGGTTAACGGAGACCCGCCACGGATACAAAATTAATGGATGTAATGCTGAGATTTTGCAGTTTTTCTCTGTGGCGCCGCCCGTACCCGCAATGCTGATGTCCAGTATATTGTGCCCCCACCCCTCTTGTGGCGGAGCACATGGTGATAAGTGAGAGAGATGCGTGGTAAAGTGAACGTTGACACTTCCATCCAAGGCGGCATCTCTAGCTGCGGTGATCCGGGCCTTGCGTTCCACTTATTTGGCCGGAGACCGCGGTAGCCCCGCGGGAGCCGGTCAACGCGTTTGGTGGGGTGTAACGTAGCCCGTCTCCATCAACGCTCCAAGCGTGTACCAGCGTAATTGTCATCAGCCAGCGGTTCTCGCCTGTTTCGCTACGCAAAGAGGCGGCGCGGAGGGCGCCGTTGGTGGCGCCATCTGGAGCGCAGCGTTGACGTTTGTCTCAACGATACAAAGTGGATCTGAGCTGACAGTTGTAAGCCATTACCACTCGTAGATCACTCCGACACCTCGCCCATGCGCTGCTCTACACGCTGGGGGCGTCGAATACACGTTTAGCTGTGGTTCTCACGCACTTCGCTGCTCGGAGAACTACGCCGTTGGCGTCAGCTTAGTCGGCCTAGCGTCGCCTCCTAACCCAACATTGGTTGGCATCTCCATGATGCACACCGTGTCTTAATAGACTTTTCCAAGCCCTCACTGCATGCATCAATTGGCGGCCCCCTGCTTGCATGTGGGGACGCTACATTCATCAACGTCTGAACTCTGGGCTGCGTACGACACTGGCATTGGGCGGGCGGAAATGCATTATGTCGTGAGCTGTCACGAAGGTAGTTTGTCAGGACGTTCACAACACGGCAATCCGTGCTAAGCATCTGACAAAAACATGTGTAAAGAGTAACATGCATATTACCAGCATAGCTGTTTGGAGACCCGGGTACGTTAATACGCTGTCGCACTCATGAGTAATACATATGCACTTCACTGGCAATACGTGCTACTATTTAAAACCACTCGTATGCCATCAGGCTTTCCTTTTTCAAAGGATCGGCAGATGGTGAAGTCGACAGGAACATTGCCGACCATACCGAGCGGGATTGAGTCGGGCGGATCCAACATAAATCTTGGCAAGGAATTTCTTAACGCTTGCGCATACAGCCACCTACCGATGCGGGAAACAAACCAGGGAGCTGTGGTTATGGTTTTACCTTCCCCCCCCCCCCGCCCTCACGGGGCCCCGTTGACCCTACCACGGATCTTTGCCGCCAGCGCACCAACTTTAAGCAAAAAAGTAAAGGAGAGCACCATTGCACTGGGAAGCGCCTCAATTTTGCCAACATGGAACTTTGTTCTCTCCCCAATTTCAGTTACTGAAGAAATGTTTTTGCGCCCTTTACACTAGCCACAATGGTTTCGTGATTGTCTCCTGAAATCTTGCTTTCTTCCCCAAATCTTGGGAGCGACAGACAGTATCTTTTGACGCGTTAACATAGTGCGTATAGTCCCGCAAAAAGAGGGGAAGCAGCGAAAAAAGACGAACTCAATCCGCAAACACGTCATCAAACGGATTTCTCCTCGGATTCGGCTCGCTTTCCTCTCAATGTTGGGGGGGGGGGGGGGCTGGAGCCCAATTTCAGTGAGGAGCTGAGTGGAAACCACACCCTAACTAACATACAAAAGAAATTCAGCGAAAATAGCGTTTTGTTTAGCGTAGACGTTAACGCTTAACAGGGCGCTGTTTTCCGAGGTTATGGGACACTTGCCCAAACAACTCCCGAAACATGGATGGAATAGTTGCTCGAACTATCGTCCTCGTCTAGTGTGATAGCGCGTGCAATGGTGTGCCATCGTCTGGTGTATTTCATGTGCACACCAGAACTGTTTGATTCAAATTTTTAAGAATCGATTCACCATTGATTCATGGCCATTGCTGCACGCTTTAAATTTGATTCAAGTCATGATCGTGGTTTGTGAATAAATCATATCTATTCGCACCCAAGTTAATGCTTCAGTTCGGATTCAAACCACCTCACAGGGAGTGAATTGATTCAACATTCCATGTTTGCACGCTGATTTTTACATGGGCAAGTGACAACTATTATATCTTTATTATTATATATTTATTATTATACATTGCCATATACACTGCATATTATATATATATATATATATATATATATATTATACTATATATTTGTTTACAGCTAATGTATGCTGGTTGTGTACTATTCTGATGATACTCACTGTGTACCGATGAAAAATTACACTGGATCCATTTATTTGGCCTTCGCGTTGAATTCGCCTCATTCAGATAAACCCTTTTGAGGAGGATCAATATTCAAACTATGATTCACATTTCATTTGTATACGAAAGAATCTATTCACTAGCAACTTGCCAAAAAATTGCGTGGTTCATGAATCATTCATAGATTCATTTTGCATCGAACACACCTGCATACCAGCAAACTAGACGAGGATGATAGCCCTAACAATTATTTCATTCCTGATACTAGTGCTTCTTCTCGATCCTTCCGTAGAACTACAAACTTTGTAAGGCGCCACACCAGTGATCCCGTGCACAGGGCTGATTCCGTGCAATGATCATAACGTCACGCCAGGAATTAATCATGAAGTTTCACCATGACATCATTTCCGGTGCGCTGACTCGCCTACCATCGCCTTGTACAAGCGCATACACGAAGAGCCGTTCAATCATCTGAGCTTTCCGAATGAATGTCTTGTCACTGGACCGACGTTGCCGGCCGGAATGTGGCGCGGTTCCCACTTCCCTGCTCACTTTCAATGCTCCCATGCCCTTGAACACCGATGGCGCAAGACACCCAGCACCGGGGCGGGGTTGGGGGTGCAAGTAAGCTTATTATGAAAGGGAGGTACGGAGCGTGTTAAAGCCACATGCTGGTCGTGGGGACCGCTGCTTGCCGATATCCTACTGAGCTCGCGAGAACCCAGGCCATGGCCGGCTCGTAAGCGATGTTATCGAATGGCCGTTCTCAGTTGAGAAGGTTAGTTGCCGACAGTGGCGTTGGCAAGGGAGAAAGCTCCGGACCATGCCCCCCCCCCCCCCCCCCCCCGCCTGAAGGCAGTCAGGAGGACCCCATGCCTTTTGGCAGGACGTCTTCAAACATGAAAACATGGCGCCTAACGCACACAAGGGCCCTCGCGGCATCAAAATCTGATGGCGAGCTTAAGTACCAATAAATCTCCATCGCAGGGGCCCCTAAAGCGACAAAGTGGCTGAAAGTGAACGTTAGCTGAAAAAGCCTTCTCTGCCCAGATTTGCTCTCTTCTTAGGCGAAATCCTGGCTACGCCACTGGTTGCCGACGAATTACATAAGCTGTCGCATGGTCGGGTTAGCTAACCAGTCCTGGTTGTCGAGCAGCCAGTCAATCGTGGCATCCACCAATGTCATAAGAGGACAAAACTTAATACGTACGCTCCTAACCGTTTGTAAACTGAAGTGACACCAGCTTCCAAACGGCGTGGCAGCCGAGTCTAATCGGCCTGGCCAGTTTTCTGACATTGAAACTGTCCGTATGTTCAATTGAAGACCCCCTGGGCCTAAGAGCACTGGAAACCACAAACCTCACGGAAACTGCAACTGATTCATTGGACGCGACGTCAGAGACTCCGGCCACGAATGCATGCAAACCAAGGGTACGAGGCGGTACTTCGCCGGCCAGCCTTTCGCTGAACATCAATAGTTGGCGTGCGAGTATAGCACAAGCCACCCCTCAGGGTAGTGCCGTGGCGGGTAGGATATTGAGCACGAGTACGAAGGAAGAGGCTTTAGCCAAAAAAGGCTTCGTCGCTTAAGAGGTGTTTTCTACTCGGGATCTCTCATGCCTGAAGATCCATCCGATATGGAGACATCGAGTCCATTTTTTATACTTTGGAAGCCCTGTCGGGATCGCATCGTAGGCGGTCCTTGCGATTAAAATGTTCCGCGGCCCTTGGATATCTCCCACTCCGTAACTCTGGGGGAAGAGCGCGGCAGTGCTCCAAAAGCCCTTCCGCCTGCGCCAACCCAGGGTACAACTTTTCAGCAGGAAGCACAAACTGCCCATGCGGGCGTGAAAGTGCATCGGCAAGGCCCGCTCCGTCCGCGGCCTCGCTCGTAATAGCCCAGCAGCTGTTGTCTCTCGCTCCACGTATCAAAGGTCTCCCGCCCACGCCGCTACGGCGGTCCGCACGCTCGCCGGTTGTCACCGCGACCAAGACGGTGCCCGCCACGTGGCCGTGAGAGCAGGCCGCCATCGCGATTGCGCGTGACGTCACGAGCCGATCCATTCGGCGGGGCCGCGCCATCTCTGGCAGCGGCCGGCGGTGACTCAACGCCGGCCGGCCCGGCATACCGGCGCGCCACGTCACTGTAGGTACATGGAATGGAACAGCTGATGCGGCCGCGGCGGCTCGACTCGTCTCGACAGGTGCCGCTCACAATCAGGACTCGCGCAGTTTTAAAGCGTCAATGTCGGTCGCAATAACCCTGTTGCGACCACGCTATTGCGGACGTGTAGGCCGGAACGATGCTGCACGCCGGGTGACCCCGCCAGACTCATGTGCGGCTGTCGGTGCATCTGGCACCCGTTTTTTATGGGAGTCAATCGTGACACTTCCACTTAAATTAGTCCATCAGCTCCACCCCTGGCACTCTCCGGCACACCATGACAGATGCCGCCGAGCTACTGGCTTCTCAGACATCACTAGACGTTACATGCGGTAAGTTTATTTGCCTAAAAAAAATTGCCGAACGCCGAATTCCGCCAAATCAAGACACCACGATTGACTATGCTCTTTCCACCAACCCCCACAGACGTCTGGAGAAGCAGAGTGCAAATACTCCCAACCCGGCGCCTCTCGTCCCACACACCCTTCCGTGAGAAATACCCTTTCACAAAGCCTACGGGTAGGCCATAGGTATATTTATAAGCCCAGGTGACAATCACATGGATAGCAGAGTATGGGTCAGTTGGTAAAAACTGATGGGCTAGTATCCACATACTCTTTTCCTCCGAAACTCCTTGCGGTGACAATGCGATATAAGCCACTGAGACAGAGAAAATGAACAATTAAGCTTTCTCACACCGAATGGTCCGGGAGCACAAAAAGAAACGCATTCCTTCTTGCGGTACGGAGAGCAAACACTTGCGATCGAACAAGTGGTATCCATGTGGGAGGCAATTACCTATTTCTTGCCGGCCTTTTCGGCCGCCTTGGTGACCTTGCCAGACACCACCTTCGGGGTGACCGCCTTGATGACGCCGACAGCCACGGTCTGCCTCATGTCGCGCACGGCAAACCGACCCAGGGGCGGAAAGTCGGTGAAGGTCTCCACCACCATGGGCTTGCTCGGGATCAGCTTGATGATGGCGGCGTCGCCAGACTTCAGGGCCTTGGGGGCCTCCTCAGTCACCTTGCCGGTACGACGGTCCACCTTCTGCTGCAGGTCGGCGAACCGGCAGGCGATGTGAGCCGTGTGGCAGTCGAGCACGGGGGTGTAGCCGGCCGACACCTGTCCAGGGTGGTTCAGGATGATGACCTGGGCCGTGAAATCCTCGCAACCAGTCGCCGGCTTGTTCTTGGAGTCGGATGCGACGTAGCCACGACGCAGCTCCTTCACAGACACGTTCTTGACGTTGAAGCCCACGTTGTCGCCGGGCAAGGCCTCTGCCAGGGTCTCGTGGTGCATCTCCACAGACTTGACCTCAGTGGTCAGGCCATTGGGGGCGAAGCACACGATCATGCCAGGCTTGATAGTACCGGTCTCCACACGGCCCACGGGCACCGTTCCAATACCGCCAATCTTGTAGACGTCCTGCAGGGGCAAGCGCAGGGGCTTGTCACTGGGCCGGGACGGCGGCTCGATGTTGTCCAGAGCCTCCAGCAGAGTCTTCCCCGAGTTGCTGCCGGACTTGCGAGTGGTCTCCCATCCCTTGTACCAGCCCATCTTGTCACTGGCTTCCAGCATGTTGTCTCCGTGCCAGCCAGAGATGGGGACGAACGCGACAGTCTTCGGGTCGTAGCCGACCTTCTTGATGTACGCAGACACCTCAGTGACGATCTCCTTGAAACGGGCCTCAGAGTATGGGGGCTCAGTGGTGTCCATCTTGTTGACACCGATGATCATCTGCTTGACGCCCAGAGTGTAGGCAAGCAGGGCATGCTCACGGGTCTGGCCGTTCTTGGAGATACCAGCCTCGAACTCACCGACGCCAGAGGCGACGATCAGCACGGCACAGTCAGCCTGAGAGGTTCCAGTGATCATGTTCTTGATGAAATCTCTGTGGCCCGGGGCATCGATGATCGTGACATAGTACTTAGCGGTCTCAAACTTCCACAGAGCAATGTCAATGGTGATACCACGCTCACGCTCAGCCTTCAGCTTGTCCAGCACCCAGGCATACTTGAAGGAGCCCTTGCCCATCTGCAACAGCAAAAATGTATGTTAGAACAGCTAGCTTCAGAAATGCCAAGCAAACAGTGTGCCACCAAGGAGTTGACTAAGCCATCAACATCTCTATGCTCCAAAGAATCTTTGGATAAAAAACCACCAATGCTCAGAATAGTGGTCACGATGGGCTGCTGCATGTTAACTAGTGCTGTGGATGCCCGATGATGGCTGGTAGACGTGCAAAAGCAACCATCACAAATTGACTGAAGAAACCCCACCAGCCAGGAACAATGACCCTTAAGTTCGGAATGTGCTCAACATGTGAAAATCTCTGGCTATAACCTCCCTAGCACTGGTACCCCACCCCAAACAAAGCAATGCCAGTACAACTTGTGGGTAACATCTCCACACATTTTGCCATCCAACACTAGTCTCCCACATTCTACCCTGAACCCAAAGCTTTGAAGAACATTGCAACCTGGGAAGAAGAAGGAAGTGGACCACATGATGCAGCACACACCAACTTTCCAGTGGCAAAATCCAAAGGCAAAAAGGCTTGGGCACCATCAGGTAAAGTGGCACATGGAATGTGGCCTACCCAATATGCTTCATTACATTCAGAAACTTTAAGAGCATGCACCTCCATGTTGTCTAAATACTGCTACACATGGAGCAAATCTGAAATGCAAAGGAATGCTTATATCCAGCAAGCAGAGAGTATTCTGGCACCAAGCAGGTGCCAGTAGTGTAGTGGTTAGCATGTCTGCATAGGTTACTGTGCATTTAGGAAACCACAGGTACAGGGTTTGACTCCCCGCCCTTCCGACTATGGTGGGAGGCAGGCGACGCCATATAGCCTCAGTAGCTGAGTGCATTGTAAAGCCCCAACCACACACACACACACACTGGCACCAATCCACATTCTATGAGGATGAATGATGCAGCTTTACAAACCACACTTACACACACTCCAAATAACTTAAGATCTGACCTACACCAGCATTTCAAAATGAAGCAGGCTGATAAAAAAACTATAGGTCAAAATAAGTAACACACAAACACAATTATACAAAATCTATTAGTTTGGCTAGTTGAGTATAATCTCAGAGACTAGGCATCTCATACCATGTTGTCCCAAGCATAAAAAATGCATGCCACAAATGGATGAAGAAATGTATAATGTACATTACATGTACAACAAAGCTAAATCAAACCACACATTTTGCCAGTGAAGGTGAACACTAGTTCCACATTAGCATGATCTGATCTGGTGTATGATCTTAAGCTAGGTGCAAGAGCTTAATTTCTAGTGGAAAAGAAATGCGTCCATCCCACACCTATGCTGCCAAAGTATGGTCATTTCAATGTCATTTCAATCCTGGTATTATAGTATAACTATTCAAGGAGAACACACAAAATCACCCTTACAACCTAATATCTGAATAACTTTGCAAATTCAATCTGACACCACAATTGAGTTTACCACTTACACCAAGAGCTCCCACCTGAACAACCCATATTTGACAGCTCTCGTAAAAGCCCCTACCCATCCAGCAATACCAAAAAATGCCTTATAAGCATGCTGGGCCCACTCATAACCCACATCTTGCAATCATACAATCTGAGCAGATTCTAAACCCCAGAATTTTCTGTTATTACCTGCTGGGCCTCAGCCTCAAACTTCTCGATGGTACGCTTGTCGATGCCACCGCACTTGTAGATCAGATGGCCAGTGGTGGTCGACTTGCCAGAGTCGACGTGGCCAATGACCACGATGTTAATGTGGGTCTTCTCCTTTCCCATGGTGGAATGTTGTCACTACACAAGCCCAGACTGAAAAGCAAAACACTTGTCAAACCTTTTCAAATGTACTATACTCCATGCAGTATTGCTGTCAAGAGACCTGATATCCAGAATACTGATAAGCAAGATGGAAAATTCTTCCTGGCACATTTGTTCACCAATACATTTGTCCTTCAAGCTTTGGACAAAACACTTCAGGCACCAGCTCCAGGCACCCTGAATTACTAACTGATCTGCAGCTAACTCCTTTTGAAATTTTGAGGCCATCCTGGACATATTCCACATATATCCATCAACATTAAGAACAAACCTGACAACCAAGAGCCATGCATGCAAAGTTAAACCAGCTGAGCCTGTTTAATTACCCAGGGAAACCAGCTGAAATCCAACTACATTGTAACAGCTGTTTAAGGCAAAGGCCACAGCAAACAGGCCTCTGCTTTTAACACAGGCAACAACCTTAGCTATCTGACAAGTCTGCTAATCTGACTACCATTATGATGAGCTTCCAGTCACACTATAACACAATGAACCTCAATAGCTCTGAGCACACTACATAGGACACATGGCAAACCCGCCACCAAATCGACACCGAAATAAAAAATAAATACAAAGGCTTCGTAATACCCACGTCCAGCTCCTAAAGCCGGCTTGAAATGTGCACCAAACCCCACACAGACGACTCCCAGACGTATTCCGCAAGCCACGCGGCGGCCTACGCCGTACAAGGGCGAACGTAACCGGCCGAATGATGGAGAACTACAACACAACCGCCACAGCAACGACATTCAAACCATTCACGCATAAGAATTGGCACGCGGTTAGGATACACCGATATACCGAACAACACAACGGAGATTCAAGCCACATTGCCAACAAATATCCCACAGTTCCACGCACGTCCTACCTGCCAGGGAGCCGGCTTAGAAAGAGGACGGAAGTAGGTGGTGCTACTGGACGAAATCCTTTGGGTGTAGCCAGGCCCACAAAGAAATGCCTGTTATGAATATTATCAAATTATACACTTTTTTACCGATTAAATATTTTTATTTTTAGTAACGAATCAATAAAAATACCCAAAACATCATGTAATATGAAACTTTGTGAAAACTTTAGTCAGAGCGGAAGTGACGTCAAATATTGCACCAAGTGGTGGGGTGCGAGGCATTTCTGGTGAAAGAACAAAAACTAGATGCGGCAGCTAAATACAAAAGCAGCTTTTACATTCCGACTAACCAAACAAACCCGTAACGTATGCGGCCGCCGTTATCCCCATAGGAGGGCATAGGTGTGTTAATTACGGGAGAACACGCCAGGGGATGAGCACTGATCTTTTGAACATCTAGCATTTACCATTTATCCGAAAACTGGAAAGGAACAACCAAACATGGCCATCGGCTTTCCGGTTTAGTTTGACTTTCACTGTCCCTGTCAAGGGCCGCAGGGCAAGGCCGCGGGGTAGCCGCCATCAAGCCGGCAAGGGGCCTATAAGCCTATACGCACACATACACACACACACACGCACACACACACACACACACACACACACACACACATATATATATATATATATATATATATATATATATATATATATATATATATATATATATGTTAGTCTTTGACAGGTTGTGCAATGGGGCCAGCCCGTATTGCCGGGCCCTCAAAGGTCATTCAGATGCCTCTTTGCACGGATTGGGGCCCCTGAGTCGATGAGGAACCGAAGACCTCTTTGTCAGCTAGAAAGCGCCGGATCCAAAGGGGTCCACAAGACCATATCCCCCTCCCCTCCCTTGTGCCCAAAGGGGGCCGATACTAACCGTACGGACGGAGTTTCTTTAATTCCAAAACGCAACAAAATTGGACGTCCTTAGGGCCTCAGGCGACCCAGAACAATTGCAGGCGAAAGTGAAGAGTCCAAGAACAGGCAAATATAATTGTCCGCTTATTGAGAGAGTATTGCATGGGGAGGTTGTTAAGTTCATTACGCTGTCTTGAGGCCTTAAGCTATGCTTCGGGGTCCGCCATGCTAACCTGTCGGGCTACTCCTGATCAATCACTTTCCACGGATTCATCCGTTTTGCCGGAGAGGCTCTTTCCGTTGTTGTTGGGCCCCATATGGTTACTAGCCGGGGTACTTCGGTTCCTCGAGGGACCCTCACATTGATTTCCAGTTACTTCCGCTTGTTCGGAAAGCTCTGCGCCGTTGCTGGGGCCCATTCAAATTAACGTAAGTCATATAAGTCAACTACCCACTCCTCAACAGCAGTGAAGGAACTGGGTGTACTCCTGGACCATCACCTGATCTGAGGGACCCACACCGTCGAGGTTGTCCGGCGTTGCAGCGCCATACTCGTCTCGTTGTTCAAGGCTCGACATCACCTCACCCGCGCCCTTTTGACGCTCCTCGCTAGCTCGACCGTTTTCCCACACACACAATACTGTCTGTCCGTGTGGGAGGCGCTGCCGACTGCCATCTGAGCCGGATCTGAAAGGTAATCCACTTTGCCGCCAGGCTGGTGACCGGCATCCGCTGCTGCGGCCACATCATGTCTGCACTAGAAACGCTGGGATGGTGGAGCGTGGCGGAGATGGTGCGCCGACTGAACTGTGATAATGTGCTCCGTGCACTGCGTGTCGGTGGGGCGCCCGCCGCTCTGCGTTCGTATTTCTGTGCACGCGGAGGCCTCCCATCACCTTACCTGAGCCGCGGCCCGTGGTAGCGGTTTACTGCACCTAGAACGCGTCAGGTTGACTGTCACTAAGCGCCGGCTTCCGCACCGGGCGGCTGCCGAATGCAACTGCATGCCCCCGGCGGCCGCCTACGCTTCAGCACTGTGTGCCTTCTTGTCTTTTAAACACGCGCCCGGGTGGCCAGCTGGACACCCTTCGCTCAGGAGGGGTGGCGTCAATTTGATTCCCCCCCCCCCCTTGTGATCTCAGGAACTAAGAGGGCTAGACACGCCAAATTCGCAGGGGTGTGTTGGCATGTACGTGAACTCACTCAGGTGAACTCACGAGGCAAGCGATGCCCAGGGGCCCCCACATTGATCTCGGACACTTCCTATTTGATGTCCTCTGCGGAGGACCCTACACCGTTCAGTGCCCTTTCTGTTAACACGCGCGAACACTCTTGATCGCGCTGGGGCTCGCCACAATTGTCTTGGGCACTTCAGAGATTTGCTCGGATGACCCTACCCTGCTGTCAGGGGTATTATACGTTCATCTGCTCAGAGACGACAACAGCAAATTATTTAACATTGTACAAGTACTGGTACATTGTACGTTGTACAAGTACTGGTGCTATCATGCAAGGCGCTTATATGCAAACGCTTCAATGTGTGCGATGAACAGGAGGCATGCACAAACTTGCAGGGCTCTGTCTATTTGGGTTCTAACGCTTCTGTGAAAGCACGACGGTGGAAGTGGTGACTGTACATGGTACACTACAAAAAAAGTTTTCACATGTTTCTTTAAGCAATGCTATATATTCATAGGCTACAAGCACGTGATGGTCCAGTCACCTCCTAAACCGACTTTGCACTCCAGACACGGAATGATTGCATATGCCCTGTTAGTAAAAGGGTATATCGCCAAGCGGTCTTTTGGAGTATATTAGCACCGTAAGAGCTTTGTAGCAATGTAATCCTTCCGATGTACAGCAACTTCATTTAAGTAAAACTCGGCAGTGTGGACATCTAAGTGAAAATCAGTGTTATAGCGGAAGACGCGTCCACCCTCCCCTCCCCCCTCCCCAGTGGCGTCGGCCCTGGATACCTTTAAGGACCTCTGGATGGAGCAGGGGAACTTGCCGCCGTATCGCTAGAATGACATCTGGTAGGTACCCCACGGTGGGACGGAAGGGCTCTTCAGCCTTTAGCCAAGAACGATAATTTGCCCACTAGTGTTTAGCCCACTGGTTCCCTTGCCCCAAAAATGGTAAGGGGACTCATTTGTTTTTGATTGAGTGGGTATAATTTGGGTAAAAAAATGAAGAAAAGACCAGTCCATAAACGTCCGCCCTTTGAGAGAACCAGCTTGTAACACTAGATATTAACTTTTTCTGTGCGCTAGCTTAGCAGCAAAGATGGCGGCTGCAGTTTTCGTAAACTGAGCGGCGTTGGCCGCTGCACATAACACCAGGAGGTGGATGTTGAGCGTGCGAGAAAGACCTTCGTAAATAATGTTTTCATTTTTTTCCAAAAGCAAATCGTACCGTTCAAAGATATTGCTACTCATCATTACCGGTGGGAAGAAGCAGATTTTTTTTCTTCAAAATCAATTCGCGGCGTTCAAAGATAATACTACTCTCCGCTAGCGATGAGTTTCTTTGAACGGCGCTTCAGATTTCCAATCGGGCCCTTGATCTTTGACCCCGAGAGGCCATTATGACCATTTTTGGTCACTTTGGATCCCTTCGGCACCATTCGGACCCCTAAAACACGGCCTTCTGCCGACTCAGAGCCACTTACCGACACAGACCCCTTACTGGCCACTGTGGGCCCGCGATCGACAAGGAACTGCTTATCGTTTCAGAAACTTCGACCAATGCAAACTGCGAGCCCCGCCCTTGTCCCAGCTAGAAAAATGACCCCCCGGGGCTCAGAGCGACACGGAGCCAACTGTCAGGTGTTTTAGCCTCCGGTCGAAATAGATGCCCGCATTGTGCCAGAGGGTTCTCAATCGATGCAGGAGGCCTCTGACTGACATTTGAGGTGGCGGCCCTATGGGCCGGAATCCTTATTGTGATCTGCAATCAGCCCTTTTGGCCCGCCGGGCCTTTTAGCCCTTCAATTGGGCCCTTGATCGTCGATTTCGAAGGGCCTATCAGGCCTCCTCGGACACTACTCGGGCGTTACTCTTCCGGGCCCTTGGCAACACAGGAACCCCTGTCAGCCACTGTAAGGCCCTGGCCGACAAAGGGGACCATCATTGACACAGGGTCCCGCCGAATGTAAATCGCGGTCCCAATCTTTTCCCTGCTTGACAAATGGGCCCTCAGGCCCAGACTGACACGGAGCCTACTGTTTGGTGCCTATGGTGTCTGACCGATATAGAGGCCCTCATAGACTTAGGTGTCCTCAAACGGCACAAAGGGCTCTCTGACTGGACGATTGCCCAGATACACAGCACTCAATGACGCAATTCAGCACGCGTTACAGGCAGCAGGAATCCTATCTATCCTGGAACCTGCTGGCTTCGATCTGGGAGACGTTAAAGTCATGATGAGATGGCCGTATTTCCGTTTGCCTACGGTAAGAGTGTGGTATGGGATGTCACGTGCACCAACACGTCTGCCGCCTCCAGCCTTATCCTTTCCGTGATGGCCACTGACGTCTCAGCTAAAGAAACCGAATGCAGAAAGAACAGACAACACTCGAGCTGTACTCAGTGATTCCAGTTCCAACCAGTCGCCTTTGAAACCGGGGAACCTGTGGCCCTCCGACCATAGATTTTGTCAGAAGTCTTGGCGCGGGGCTGATTTCCTCGTCGGGTGATAGACGGGAGAATGCTTAGCTCTGGCAGAGTCCGGCTACCGTCATTGTCCGAAGGAACGTAACCTCAATGACATTCACTTTTTGACCCCTGACCAGCATTGGATTGCCTTGGATATTCGAGCAGTTATATTCATTGATGTAACTGCGAACTGCGACGTGTTTCCCCATCTAAAACTGTGTTCCAAGCATTGCTTCGTTGTTCGGATTTCATCAGCCGTCACGTAGATGAGAAGTGCGTCTACGAAAGGCAATGAAACGGTAAGGCTTAACTGCGTGAATTACGAAACAACTTACATAATTATTCGCAAAAACATGGTGTGAACATGCCTGACAAATGAGCCAGGATTGAAGCGCACAAATTTTACCTATTCACTAACCAGCAATGCGGTCGCTGCCACTGCGAAACAGATCATTTGATAACAAGATTTGATCCTGTTCTGGGCATTACAGATTTTCATGTCCTGTCTGGCGTTTAACGGTACCCCCACTTCGATGCAGGTATTTCCCATGCAAGGTCGCGAGGACTTGCAATACACATTGAAGGCCGTACCTGGTAGAAACTTTCCAGCGTGGAATGCGCCTTTTCTTGGCGAGTGGAGAAACACGTTTTCCTTATCTTTGCGGCTGTTTAATGAATGTAACTATCACTGATGATACAGGTAATTTTGTTGACGATGTCATTATCCGTCTTGAAGCATGCCACGAACAGATGCATGTTGTGAAGTCGCTACTCGCTCAAGAGGGTTCTGCCAGTGATATCCTCGGACTGCGTCTCGTGCGATAAAATGACAACTTTCGCAAAAGCCAGTTGCCAATGGACAAACATCGCGTTACACCTTTCGAGATAGCACCAAAATTTATTCGTCCCTCCCTGAGCCATCCCGTTTTCAACAGTCCCATGCAGCGGCGAACAATTCTTTCACGAGCGCGGTGCCGTCGTCAACCTGCCAAGTAAATTGCCCATATGTTAGGGAATTGTGCCGAATTCTTATGTGCAAAGTACTGCACACCAATACCATCATGATCATTACCGTACCCGATTAACACATGCAGACATGCGGCGGGGCTCATCCCTACTGTGGAGCATTTGTATGGATAAAGAAATAAAGCTGTTCTCACGTGCTTGCAGACCATGACTATGTGTAATTATGTGTAGATATGTGTGATTATTCACGTGTGACTATGCTTTTGTTCCAGCAAGCGTTGTGTAATTTGTCCCCAGTTTCTACCAGACCCTATGGAGAGAGGCTCCCTTGAAAACTGTTGGTGATTTTACGCGTACTCATGCTTGTTGCTGTGCTTCAGGCCAAACGGCTCTACAAATGTCTTAAGTTTGGCACGGAAATTCTGCATATGGTCCTCCTCCTCGGATTACGGCCCAGCCAGCCCCTGGCCAGAACAATGACAGATTGCCGTGTGTGTGGGTGCTCGCGTGCATACAAATACGTAAATAAAATGTCAGTGTGCATGTTGCGTGTCTATGTCAGACCATAGGTGCGTGGACTTTGGCTAATCTGGAGCATCAGGTGTACTTTGCAAGGTGGCAGAGCAGATTTTTGCCATTTCGTCTTTGAAAACGTCCATGCTTGCCGAGCGTTGGTGTATGGATAGAGCAAAGCCATGCACAGCTCGTCCTTATCTATAATCGGCCATACCCCACTGCTGATCTCCAGTGTGAGGGTTTTTGTATTCACACACGACTGTATAAGTGCTAGGCAGCGGGGCAGCACATCTCCCAGCTCGACAATAAATCACCCCGCCTTCCATTTAGTCATCGAAGAGATCCCACTCCTCGTGTACTTTCCACCGGCGGTAGCGAGTCTCACCCACGCGGCGCGACCCACGTGGTGAGCACGCGGTAGTCGAGCACCGACCATTAGCGGCGAGGCCCCGGCCCACACGGGTCCGACCGGCGCCGGCGCCGGCAGCCCTAATCCCCCCCCCCCGGCCGACCGACCAGCGGACTCCCCGCCGGCTCAGCCGACCTCTGCAGACTGGACCCTGCCTCCCCCACCCCTCCTCCCCTTCTCCTCGCCCAAACGCTCTCACGCACGCGGACCGTTTCCGGAAGTGGTGTTCTGTTTCACGGTCCAGGCGCATGGTGACGGGGTCACCAGGTGTTCAGGTGTCCAGGTCACATGCGATGAAGGCCAGTTTATTGCCGCCACTGGAATCCCGCATTCTAGATTGTGCAAGCACATTCTTGCGTTTCCATATTGCCTGTCGACGAAGGAACACCTCTGCCCACCTTACGGTGTGCTTTGCTAATGCTGGGGTTTGCGTTAGTCACTGTTTGTGGTTTGCAGGCGGCCTCTGTTCAGCGAATAGCGAGGTGCCCACAGAGAAGGCGCTGGGACACTTACTGCCTTACCGCTGACTGGTTGCAACGTTTCGTGTCAGCGCTGTCGCCCGTTTGTGTATACAGTAGTGCACAAACATTGGCTAAGGGCGAAGACACCAAGCAGTATGCAGTGTGTTACGCTGCCTGTACAGTTGAAGTCGCTGCCTATCTATGCGTCTACTGCTACCGACGCTGAACGCAAAAATGCACAAAAACGGGTGTTTATGTATGGACTTCAGAGGCGTTGCATGTCATCGTATAGGACTTAAGGTCACCGTAAAAGACGTGCCAATACCGGCCTCTGCCGTTCGCTTACACGTGATCTCTACCCTTCCATTTAGCGTGTGAGTATGATGTTTGTCGATATTCCGAATCGTAAATGTATGGGCCGTTTACACTTCTGCTATATCCATGGTTCATCGCAACGCCATAAAAACGGCATCAGTTCAAATTTGTAATATTTCACACGATCATGCAAAAAAATCCCGTAATCATACAATCGTGCAGGGGATGAGTTAACCCAAGCTAAAAAGTATGTGCAATATCCGTCCTCATCTTGACAGCCGAAGTTCCGATCTTAGCACGGGCTCCATGGAAGGCGGCTGCCACACCGCACTCCTTCATTATGAACACGTTTCAGAACGTAGCGTTCCCCAGAAGACAGCGTACAAATACTAAAATATCTCAGGTGTTCCATGGTCGTAGGGAATACGATGCTGGCTGGGGTCCAACCCTACCAAAAAATATGATCCACGCAGGCTTTCGTGAAAATGTACACTCTGGTGTGACACTTTCTAAAATCGGTTGGGGGATGAAGCTGAACCAGTGAACCTGACCTAACCGGCTTCCAGATCCTGACATCTCTCCGGACTTCGGCTGGTTTGCGTCCCTGATATCATAAGTAAGATACAAACTATTTGGTCGGTTTCAAAAATGAAGGAATGATGACTTTCCATTGGAGGCCAATGTGATGGTGATAGTGATGACATTGACATTAATGCGTTTAAGCGCCAAGCGTCCTACAGTGCCGACACTTGCTGCATGTCATTGACCCAGCATCCTCCTTTTGTTCATATGCAATATGCATTGGGCGCATCAGAGGAGCATTGAGGGGGCTCGGGTCAGCATTTGGAGGCTCAGCCCCCCCCCCCCCCCTCCTCCCCTAAAAGCATACCCACTGACATCCCAGGATACACTGGTCAGTGGTCAGCGACCCCGTCATCATCACTACAGCGCGAGCAGAAACGCCCGCATACCAGTCGGTGCATTTTACTGACCAGTCGTCCGTTATTCTCCGTTCCTCCACCGACTTGTGCCGCTGGTGCTGACATCTGTTATCAGCTTCGGTGACCGGTGAGACGTGGCTACACTACCGTGCCCAGCACCAACACAGTCGTAATCGTATCCACATGGTCTGCGGATCGGCCACCGTTCTGCTCACTGTGCAAGGTTGATCCGATCTGGAGCAAACCGCATGGACCCATTTCATTCCACTCCATTTCATTGCAGAGCCGCAGCCGGGAGGGGGGGGGGGGCGTGGATCCGGATCTCGTTCTCTCGTGTTTTCTTTTGCCATAGATGGCTCTCGAATGAAAGCTTGAGATCAGCGTGTGAGCGTGCTCACCGAGTTACGCCCGCCCCCCCCCCCTCACCGAGCTACGCCTGCCCCCCCCCCTCACCGAGTTACGCCTGCCCACTCCCCCCATATGCACTTGAGAAAGTTCTGGCTGCGTTTTGCGCAACATAAGAGAGCATTGTCGATCGATTGCTTCCAGTTGGATTATTTAGCGAATTGTCCTCTACACTAATACAGATACACTGTGAGTGGTCCTAAATGCCATAGCAGTACGCCGCAAAAAATGCTGTCATGCTCCCTGGCAACCTACACCCTCGTTTCTACAAAGGTCTTAAACAGTAAGCACACTCCAGTTTGACCTTGATAAGTGTAATGGAGAAAACAGTTATGCGAAGCTTCTCGCCTGCACGTGTCATTCGGAGGCTGTCACGATCAAAAAGTTTATCGTTGGGGCATGGTCTCTTGGCCCTTGTGTTGGCTACGTCCCCATATTTTACCATTGCATGTCAGCCTTAACAATTCTAGCTGTTTAAGATGTACAAAAACCACAATGTGAACGTGCTTGCCTTTCGGTGTATCAAGATATATTTCCTTTTTGGGTACATGGTCAACCACATGGATGTATTCAAGGAGGTACCTGGGGCACGTTACCCTACCTAACATTTTTTTTGTATACGTGATTCTACTTACGAATAAATGTTAGCAATGACAAAAGTCACGCATGGACGGAAAAAGGAAACAGATTGAAAACATCTGCTATTCTTATTCTCTGGGCAGAAATTTCGCGCGCCTTCGGCGCGATAAAATATACTTGCTTTTAAAATTTCGCTCATGCCCAATTACGAAACTCTTTATAGTATGTGGTCAAACAAACCTTGGTACACCAAATGAAGCGCTCAATTCCACTTGGTTTATTTATATCCAGTTTTCCAAAGGGACGAAATAATCTCGCTCCTTTCGACAAAGATATCCACTTGCGCTTCATTGTATACGGCAAATATTGCTGAAAACTATTCCCAAGATGTGTCCCCGGGAGATCGACGGTTCACACCAGCGAACTATGTAATATATTAAACGCGTTCTCGGTCACCATTTATTCAAAATTGAGTATATGCCGCGGACAGAAGGAAACAGAGAGACAGAGAGATTAAAAGAAACAATGGGAAAAGCAGCTGTAGGGATGAGTAGAAGGGAGAGAAGAGGGACAAAAAGGCAGGCCATGGCAGGGCACAAGAAGTTGACAATAAATCCCATACAAAACAACGCCGTCGTTAAAACAAAGTAATCTCACTTGCAGCACACCATCGGGACTTTCACCACGTCCACGTTTCGTCCTTGATATCAATATGCAGTACATTTTGATACAGGCTGTCGCACAGCGCTTGACGCAGAGTTCGCCACGTGACGCGCACTGGGCGGGTACAAAGCGAGCTCGTCGTGTAAACGGCGCCCTCGCAGCTTACCCGACGCCCGCACAGGGCGCACTGTTCCCGCTATCGCTGCAGATGACGCTGCATGCGTCAGAAGTTGATCCAGGTGTCGCTACTGACGCGAACCGCGACGCGCGCAGACGGCACCGTCCGCTATCGTTTGGGGGCTGGGAGCCTGACGTTTGTGACGATAGCTGCCCGGGTGACGTCACGGTTTCAGCGCCGGAGCATAGCCAACTGAGAGCGATCCCGGCCGGGCAAGGTCGGGGTGGCCACACCGCGGCCGTGTCACGCCCACTTCTGCATTGGTCCCTGCTGAAGTGCAGTATTGCAATACGTTGGTCGACCACGCGCGCGCAGAGTCATTTGTGCAGCTCCGGTATCTTTTGTATCTGAACACGGCTCGTTGCGAGCACGGCGAGAGTTGCTTCAGATGTAAAGCGGGGTCTCCTGACCAGTCAGCAGCCGGAACAGGGATGTCGGCATGGTCTTCATCAATATCTGCAGCAGGCGAGAAGCAGCACGCTTCGTTAGCCCATAATGTGAAAGGCGTAGTCACTGAAAACGCATTCCTGCATGTTCCTCCGGGACATATCATTGTCAAGCAGCTTTCAGCGCAGGAAGATCACATATTTCACAAACTCATTTAGGTGCAAACACAAAAGATTCGCATTGACGTGCATCGGACAGCACATCATTTTTATAATAGGATTGCAAGAAACCGACAGCGTTCTCGGTATACGGAGATTAATATTGTTCTGCTGTTACCTGGATACACCAAATTGTGTCGTACAGTGATAAGGAAAACTTAACCTCTTCATAACACACATTTTAAAGACCTCCACAAACTGAGCGTCAAACGAGAGCTCCACGTACATACAAATATAGTGAATGGATCGGTCTTAGTAAACTTCTGGAACATAACCACGTCCTTATGAACTCTCCCGACAAGTCTTAAAATTCACCAGCTACGACAAATGGGTGTTTTTCCCAATAAGCAGTGCAGGAATTGGGAAGAAATCATCATTGTGAAACGAAATAAGAATCAAGTCGAAATCACGTCTGCGCAGAGTAACGGTTCGCTGACCTTCCTGATAGTCAGCATCCATCCCGACCTGAGGGGCGCCACCTCTCCGCACGGAGATCTCATTCACCTCCCCCGAGCCCACCTTCACCGCCCCCCCCCCCCTCCCTCGCGGCTCACCTCGCCGACGGAGGTCTCATTCATTCCTTTCACGGGCCCACATTCGCGGCGCCCCTCCTCCGCGACGCCCCCCTCCCCCTCGCAGCTTACCTCGCCGACGGAGGTGGCCAGCAGGCTGACGATCCGCTCGTGCGGCACGGCCACCACGCTCTGGCTGTTGATCTCGATGATGCGGTGTCCGACGCGCACGCCCCCGCGTTCGGCAATGCCGCCGCGCAGCAGGCTGCAGATGACGCCGTTCTGCACACTGAAGCCCAGCTGGTACTTGGTGTCGGGCCGCCGGATGCGCACCTCCACCACCGGCGGACACGGCACCACCGTCAGCTTCACCACGGTCGCCTGCTTGGCGTTCTTGACATAGGTCTGGCAGCTGGCCAGCGGCAGGCCCACCAGGCTGACGCCGTTGATGGCAATGATCTGGTCGCCGATGTTGAGCAGGCCGCAGCGGGCGGCGGCGCCGGCCGGCGCCAGGTTGGCAATCACCACCGTCGGCACCAGCGAGCCCCAGCCTGACTCGACGATCACCACGCCGAGGATCTCGCCCTTCTGCTTGGGCACCACCACCTGGCGGCAGTCGGGCACCAGCCACTGAGGCACCAGCCGCCGGTGCCGGCGAGGAATGAAAGGCCCCTTGGGGGGTCGGCCTCCGCTATGGATATTGACAAGCGCTACTACACACAGGCGACACCTGTGCCATTTGGAAACGTCAGCGCCAGAGAATGGAGCAATCAATACAGAGCCAGACAACCGGCAAAGGGTATGCCGGGCTGGTGGAGCATACGGTCACTGGTGCAGACGTGTCCCAGAGGCACTGATTTAGACTGGTGAGATGAATGTGCATTTCTCGCATGTATGGTGGAATGAAATAGTAACCCTGAATAGGTATTGCTATCCATTCGGAAGGCACTGTGCGGCAAGGTCTAAAAATATAGCGTATGCATATGTTCGGCCAAACCTTAGAGAACTCCCGTCACGAAAGGCTATTACCAATACAAACGCAATTTGTCGCACACGACCTTGGTAAACATTCCTTGCCCCTCACCCCCACCCCCACTGCATTGGGCTGCCGACGAGGCAGGCGATAGGAAAGGAATGTTCGCACAAAAAGTTTGCGTACTGATTTGTCGCTCCGCACCTCCTTCTGAAGCTCCTTCTTGGCAAACATCTTCAGCTCCTCTCCGAATATTTCCTGCGAGTTCAGGACTTCCTGGTAGTCCATCTCCTTGACAAAGCCGTGATCGTCGATGCCGTTGGCTTTGAGGAACTCCATGTAGGCCACCTGGAAGGCTTGTCCGATGGACTGGGCGATGAACTGCGCCTGAAGCGACAGCGGACAAGCGGTCGGCCACGGCCCACGTTTGAGACAAGCGGAGACCGTCAGACACGTGACTAAACGCTATCTTGACCGGATGTTAACGGCGCATTCTCACAGCAACATGCTGTCGCGTGATCAAACCAGTGCTGATTCTGAAGACAGGGTAAGCCCCAGCAGATTGGGCGGCAGCCAGCTCGGCTTGGTTCGTCCTGCACCGCTGTCAGTGTATCCAGGCGGGTCCCACACGGCTTTGATCTGTGGCTAACCAGTCGGCGGCGCTGGGAGGCTCTGAGAGCCCCACAGAGCTTCCTGCCAACAGCTGCGACGGAAGCGTCGCCTCGGGACGTTCCCCGACGGCAATCGTTAACCAGAGCGACGACAGATGGCCCCTCCCCGCCCGCCGCTGTCCCCGACCTCACCTCGTCACTCTCGAACACGTGGCACACCATCTTGGGCAGCGTCTGCAGGTGGGCCAAGCCGGCGGCGGTCTCGCGTCGCCGTGCCATCAGCACCACGAGCTCGCCGATGTCGGCGATGTACGAAATGGTACGCAGCGCGTGGTCCATCATGATCTCCTGCCGGCCGGCGGACGGAACCGGGTCAGACGGGGGCCGGTGGGAGGGCCCGGGTCAGGCGGGAGCCGGTGAGAGGGCCCGGGTCAGGCGGGAGCCGGTGAGAGGGCCTGGGTTAGGCAGAGGCCGGTGAGAGCGCCTGTGTCAGACGGGTGCCGGTGGGAGGGCCCGGGTGAGACGGGGGCTGGTGGGAGGGAACCGTGTCAGACGGGGGCCGTTGGAAAGGAACCGGGTCAGACTGGGGCCGGTGGGAGGTCCTGGGTCAGGTGGGGCTGGTGGAAGGGCCGGGTCAGGCGGGGCCGCTGGAACCGTGTCAGGCGGGGGCCGGTGGAATGGAACCGGGTCAGACGGGGGTCGGTGGGGGCGCGACGCACATCGGCTGGCGTCGAACGCACGGGTCTGCAACAGGCGCCGGAAGGCTGGATGATGAGTCTTGGATTGGAGGGCAGCATTCTTTGTCGTTGCTGTCCGGTTGCGTTAAGTGCGGAAGCTCGCATGTGCATGCGTGCTTCCAACAGGAGTGGAGCTTTGAGTCCCTTCGGATGAACCATGTCTCCTCTCCGCTCGCTCAGTATTTCGCTCAAACCACAAAAAAATTCCCCAAACATTACAAGAAAGAAAAAAACCGTTCCGCTTAGGGAAATCTTGAGTAATTCGACGCCGCCCCCCCCCCCCCCCCCCCCACCCCCGATGAAGTTCGTCAGACTCTGTTTGCCGTTCAGAACCATGTAGGGCAGGATCTTTTAATGTGGAATATATAGATACAGGAGCAGCGGTTGCCAAAGATTGTTAGTTGAGCAGCTATATCCTGTTAGTAACGGCGAACTGAATTGTTTAATCCATTTTTCAGTTAATGTAGGACAGTTTCAAACACATCGATACGAGTCCGCCAAACACACACAAGCATCTTACTGTCAGAACATGCAGTCTAAACAGTTTGGCAACGAAGGCAACCTTACTCAGCGCCCTGCCTGCGTACTTATGCCGAGGACGTCCATGGCACCACCGAGCTAACGTCCGGTCTTATGATATTATACAGTGTCTGCGGTTTTATTGAATTCTACATATATATATATATATATATATATATATATATATATATATATTATAAAGCGACTGTAATTAATATTACGGTCTCTTGTTGCTACAGATCCAGGGCGCAAATTTAGCAATTTGAGAGCAACAAACAACAAAAGGCAGCCGAGATGAAGCATGGCAGGTGCCACTTAACCCTGTCTGAGCCTCGCCTCGGTCCGTGGCGTGCAGTCAATGGCATCCGAATGGAAGCCAGATCGACCGCTTCCGGTAGCTGTGTGAACCGTTGGTCCGCCGCCGCCTGGCGTTGACGGGGATCGCACGGGGGAGGGGGAGGGGGAGGGGGCTGCCGACAGACCACGTCAGCCGGAGCTGAGCGGTGGACCACGGGCGCCGCTTCTGCACCGGTCTCGGGCGTCGGATGCCGCCGACTGCCTCCAGGCACAACAGGCGGATGAGGGGTGCCCTGATACCCCACGTACAGGTCAGGCACCTGTATGACCTTCGTCAACACCTCCCCCCCCCCCCTTGGTCGCGGGGAAAGATAGTCCGCCCAATACCGAAATGCGAGATTCGGCATGTTCATTATGACAAAGAGATCCGCACAGCCCTGCTGGAGGGTTCGACTCGACCTCACCTTGAGACTTGTATTGAGCACCATTATCTTCTCGGTCGATATGAAGAGGTCGACATCCGTGCTGGGCTGAGCCTCGCCGTTCGGCACCTGCCGGTCGGGCGCGCTCGAACGTTAGAGGAGCCCACGATGGCCCAGACCGGCACGGGGCTGACGAGGCCGCCGTCACCTGTCACGCTACCCGTCACGACGTCACACGTCGCGTCACCTGTCACGACGTTGCCCGTCAATGTGTCACCCGTCACGGCGTCACCCGTCACGGCGCCACACGTCGCGTCACCCGTCACGACGCCACCCGTCACGACGTCACCCGTCACGGCGTCACCCGTCACGTCAGGCCATCTGTCACGACGCCACACGTCACGTCATCCGTCACGACGTCACACGTCGCGTCATTAGTCACGACGTCCCACGTCACGTCATCCGTCACAACTTCACACGTGCGTCATCCGTCACGTCACGACATCACCTTCACGTCACGTCACGACGTCACCCGTCACGTTACGCATCATGACGTCACCCGTCCAGCCATGCACGTGCCGGAGGCGTTGCCACGCAACGTGGTCGTAACAGACGTGTTGGCACACAACATTGCACGGGCCGACGACGAAATAAACATGCATGGGGCGGTGATGGCTGCGGCCGAACCAGCGCGGACGGTTCTCAACGCTGAAGGTGAGTCCCGTGCACGGAGTGATGGCAGCTACAGTCGATCAATGCACAGGCGTTTATCAACACTGAAGTTGAGTGATGCACGTGTCGGCGTTGTTTGCCAGCCATGCCGGTCAGCGGGTGCACTCGTGGGCGCCTGGCGCGCCGCCGCCCGGGAGCCGGCGGAAGTGGAGGCGTGCGTGTCGAGCCACCATCAGCGCGCCGCCGCCGGCACGCGGCAGTCGATCACGTGCCGCCCTTTCGGAATTGACGCATCGCTGGGTCGACAGCATGGGTCACAGCGGCGGGATACATGGGAGCGCCACATGAATGAGTTCGTGTCACTCGGTCAAAACTGGGGGCTGGAGCCTCCACCTCCACCCTCCACCCCAATAGGAAACTGCACTGATGGCGGGTATGTTCGGCACGCTGAGTTTACGGCGGCGGGCTGAGTAGTGCGGAGAGGGCAAGCGGGAGCGCCACGCGGAGGGTTTCGTGCCGTTCAGTCAAAACCGATGACATACTGGATCGACAGGCTGGATCATATAGACAGCACACCTGGACAGGACACGGGACAGAACAGGAGCGCCTCGTGGATGATTTCGTGCGCTCGACACTCAACATTGACGCGTTGCTGGAGCGACGACCTGGGTGAAGCGTGTGTGTTCTGAGCTCTCTCGGGGCTTCGCTGCGATGGCATTTGCCGTGTTTGGTTAGCGTAGTCCGATCCACAAAGAGGGCGTCGGTTTGCAGAAGCTCTTGATCAATAGCTGCCGCTGATCCGACCCAAGGCGGACAGCTGAGTGGTTCGAGTAAGCGGAATCGCCAGAGAACGAGGCCGTTTTTTGCACGAGCCATGCGCCTGATGCAATAGTGAGCGTGACGCAATTACGTTGGAATGTCCGGAAATACGGGACAAACCAGTCACCTCGGGCTGGAAGTGGACTGGAGGCTGCGTCAGTCCCAATGTGAGCTGGAGACTGCATCAGTCCCAATGTGAGCTGGAGGCTGCGTCTGTCCCAGTGTGAGCTGGAGACTGTGCCGGTTCCACTACGTCTCAGCGCCGATAGAATCTGAGTCGTACCGAGCTCCAGGTGTGGGGGGGGGGGGGGGGCATGCAACTTAGAAGACATGCTATTGCGGTGGTGTGATGAGCATGCCCGCATGTGCATGGCCGCTGAACGCTAGATAGAGACAGCCTTATTGTTGAGGATGCAAACGAAAATGCTCTTTGGGTAATGCAAGAGCTTTTTGTAGACTACAAATATGGGCATAAACACGACCGCATGGAAAGACGCATGCAAGGCTGGTGTCGCGGCAAGAGAAGCCATGTAAAGCAGCGCGACGTGTGTTATTTGAAGCCCTACCGCGGTCAAGACCATCAAAACAAAGCAAGCGGCGTTGAAGCCCGTCTTTAAAACTACGCTTGCACAAGCGTGCCAAATTATATGAATACAACTGATATTCACTCTGATAATGAAACACATAAATTCCGTTCATGCCTCGCTACCTCAGCCAAAGCTAATGGGTGTTTTAGGGTCACATTAACCTGCCGTCATAAGCTATCAAGTTACACAAACCTATGGGGATTGACACATCAGTTAACTGGCTTTGCAAAACTTTGGCAGCGGAACTCTGAGAGGTATGTGAGGAATCGAAGTCGGAGGAACAAGCTAGAAGTCACGGAACAAGTCACGGAACATGCCAGAAACAGGCTCACAGTTGAATCACTTACCAAAGCCTGCGTGCGGGCAGAAAGGAGGCAAAATGTCAATTTTAGTTGCACAACAATTCGTTCGCTTGTCCACAAACTTTAAAACAACTGACGATCAGTGACAATCCATGCTATATATGTGTGACTAATACAACGCTAGTCGGGTCAGAAATCGCACATCATAAGCGGAATCAACCCTGCACGGTCTCGAAAAAAACATGCCATCATCGTCCCAACCGTCCACAAATGCCTTGGGCATTGGGTGATAAGATTATACCCAACAATGCAAGAAAACAGCGTAATGAAAAGAGCAAATAAACTGTAAGGGGTTTGATATTATCATTACATTAATGGCTCTGAACGCCGCCGCAAGGGACGCACTAGGGACTGGTGAACGTACGACTTTAAGCCCGTCCCTGACGAGATTAATATGCAGGGATAGTCGGAAAGGATGTCGAACGCTTCAGGCTTTTTGAAATGCACACGCAAAGAAATGCTTCAAGAGTGTTCCATATTTGTATGTGGTTTTCAACTGAATTAGCCGTGATCAAGATCATTTGGTGCAATTCACAGCCCTGCCCTTTAGAAGACATGAACCCCTCCAGTTTCTGAGCTACGCTCTCGAGAAGATGTGCAAACTATTTCGTGCAAACTTTTTCAAGGTCACCCAGGCATCCATAACGCCATCATGACGACATTCAAACCCTGACATTCCATTGGCCATATAGCAATCAAGGCAAAAAAGTTGTCGAGTCGATCATATCTGGCATTCGTGAGCACAATTTCCAAATATACCGGTCGTCAACTGGCTCTCAATCAATGTCGTGCAATGTACGATGACGCAATCAAACAATGACGTATTGGGAAGGATATTTACCTAATAAAGAAACTGTGTTGCCTGGAGCAGCCTTTTCCACTTTCCACAAAAATACCAAGAGTTCTAAGTAGGCCTATTTCATCACATCTGCTAGTTGCTTCGATATATTCAAATACGGAGCATTCCCTTTAAACGGGTGCGTACTGCGATAATCGCGCTTTTGCCGCGAGGAATGCTTCGACATTTAATAGTGGCCATTAAATGCAGACATTTTTTGAAATAGCGTTGCTGTTCCCAACACACGATGTTCCTATATCGGCTGCCATAAAATATTTATGCCTCTTAGTGCGGTTCATGCCTGATGCACTGAAAGCGAGTATTATCACTTCGAACATTTAACGGAACCTGTCCCATGTGCTGAATGGCTCAGTCTCTTATGAAAGAGCGTTGTGACTATCATTGTTATTGTTACATCTGCCTGCTTAAACTGAAGCTTAAAACAAAAACCGTCATCAAAAACGTCGGATTCTTGAGACATCCGCAAGTTGACAGCCATAACAAAATATGACGCACGCTGGAATCGAACCCTCGACTTCTTGATTAAACACATGTTGCTCTCCCCGATTTGGCGCGCCGTGGTCAACGGACGGCTTCGCTGCGTCGCGGCCCGCGGGACCAGGCACCCACCACCTTACCCGGATGCGGGCCACCGCCTGGTGAGCGGCGCGCTGCTTACTCCTGCGCCGTCGCCAGCTGCCGAGCGGCTCGTCGCGCTCGCGCAGCTCGTCCGGCTCGTCCACATGGACGGCGCCGCGGTAGCGCAGACGGAACAGCGCGCCGGCAGCGGCGGCCGGCGGGGAGGGGGGCCAACCGGGAGTCGGCGGGCGGACGCGACGCTCCGGGTTCGTCTCGACCGCCTACGAAGTGGGCCGGGCCTCAGCGCGTCACCAACGGACAGACCGAGACGTACCCTGTCCCGGTCAGGCCCGCAGCCGGCGACGAGCACGCGGCGCAGATGCAGGGACTCCCGGCGGCAGCGTCCGTGGTCCCCCGTCCAGGATCACCCACAGTCCCGCTCGCGGCGCCGTCAGCCAGGAAGCGACGGAAGCCAGAGAGAGCGTCGGCCGGCAGGCACTGGTGAGCTGGCGCTGCGCCGCGGCCCTTGATCACCGACCAGCGATCACGACCCCACCGCCGCCATCAGCAGCGATTCGCGCAGTCATTATGCCTGCCGGGGCGGTTATCAGCTGGTGGAGCCGCCTCGCCTTCCATTATTGGACACTGTGCAGGCCGATCCGGCGCTGCTGACGCTCAGAGAAGGGTGGGACGCAGGGGCCGCTGAGCGCCGGAGGGGGCGACGCGTCCAGTCGGTCGCCACATGTACTCGTCCCCCGGACGCTGTGCAGGCCGACCGGCGCTGCTGACGCTCAGGGAAGGGTGGGACGCAGGAGCCGCTGAGCGCCGGAGGGGGTGACTCGTCAAGCCGGTCGTCACCTGTACTAGTCCCGGAGGAGTTACAGTCAATATTGGACATTACCTGTACATAGCTGGAGCGGATTTACGGGGGGCTGCTGCTACCTCGCCTGAGCAGTGACCAGATAAGTTGTCGCTAGCTCCGCAAAAAGTCGCGTTTTTATGCCAGTTAAGGTGTGCCAGATCTTCTCCAGTAATGATGTCCATCGACCAAATGGAAGGTAGTGCTTTCTTAGTTCAATCCAGGGCAAAAGCAGCACGTCTGAAAAGTAAAGACGACTAAACCTTCCATGCAAGTTCGTGACTACTTGGTCATGGTGGTTGCGATAGATAATGTTTGAGATGTTTGCTGGGGGGCAATTGATGTATTAGAGAGGATAGGATAGGAGAGGATAAGATGTATAAGATGTATCATCGCTTTATCCCACACCCTTAAAGTTGTTTGAAAGCGTATAAATCCATGCGTTTCAATTGATTTGAGCAATGGAAATGGGCTAAGAAGGCGCCAAAAATTGAACTATCATTGCAGCTATTACTACGCATTGATACCATCAGACATCAGCTGATATATCTTTCAAAAATTGGAACCGGAATTCAGGAAATGTAGCATAGAGAAGATCGCTTCACTTCCCTTGCTTCCAGACGTCTTTGGAAGCTCTTAGCATCCACCGAACAAGATGTGCTCTGTGATAGGCCAGGCTCGTGATTAGGCAATAGATGGCGTTTGAAACCGGGCTCATTATTGGGTACAGCGCCCGAGCCAGACTTGTGATCGGACACATAGCCTGATACCAGCTTTGCGATTGGACGTACCGTATAAGACAAGACTTTTGATTGGGCACTGCGCGACGCCGGCTAAGCAAATGCGCGCACCGTTCGTGATCGGGCATAGCCTATGCGAGGACGGGCTCGTAGTGGTGAACATGGTGTGAAATCTGCTTTGCGGCTGGACGGGTACCACATGTGCAGTTTTGCTTCCCATTGCCTTGGACGATCCAAACTAAAGAGATGTTGGTTTGGCGTTGGCGGTTTCCCCAGCTCTATGCCGCCTTTATTGCCCTCCCTAAAGCTCTGCTGTATGGTTATGATTTTTGGCAGCGCTTGATCACCAACATCAAATATAAATTCTTGCAATACTCATATAACCTAGAACACTCACGCCACTCCAGTGCCGGTAGGAGCATTTCGTTTCAGCCAGTGGCGCAACCGAGGGGGATGGTCTTACTGGACTTTAGCCTCTACCGTCAAGGTTCAGGGCAGTTTTTCACCACAACGCCTCTGAATATAATCCCGGAATCTGGTGAACAGGAAAACTATTTTGGCGTTAAATCACAGAGACACTACTGTGGGCATCGACATGTAGGGCCCAGTAGCCGTAATTTAGTAAAAAGGCTGGCGGACAATCAGGTGAACATGTACGGTGCACAGCTGAAACAATTGTTTCAGGCACCAGGGCAAACCAACAAAGATAGCACTTTGATACGCTAGGCACTGCACCTATTACCGTGTGTGGGGTCTGTTAGTCTGTTCACATTACGCAGAACGTTGAGTGGGGGCTGGAACTCGCTGGTAAAAGTTAGCCCTCCGCCCCCCGATGTAAATCATGAGAGCTCCCCGTAGCAAGGTTTGGTTGCGCTCTTACTCTCAGCCACGGGCAAGGGTTGCCACATACCATGTCTACATCGAGCAGTGAGCTCCCATGCCAGTCAAATCTCATGTTGTGACAGAAATTCGCGATGTTACGCGTCTCCGTAGCCATAAAGAGGTGAATGACAGTAAAAAAGAAACGATGCGATCGGCCGCCTTGTTTCAATAAGTTAAGTTTAGTTTAGTCTAAGTAAGTTTAGGTAAGTTAAGGTAAGCCCACCAGAAGTCATGAGACGATCCACCTTCAACTTCAAATCTATCGATCATCAACTCTCGTGTCAGTACTGAGGCCACATAAGAGCTGCACTCCCCCCGTCGTGCAGGGAGAGCCTTCGACATCGGCCAGCCGTGTCCCACAGCTGCACCGCTGGGACCAGAAGCGGCGCTGGGTCGCAGCCCGCCAGACGGACACGTCGACGGAGACCTGCGGCGGCGCTGGAAGACACGGACGACGGCGGCGGCGGCGGTGGAAGACGCTGACGGCGGCGGCGACGGAGGAAATAGCCGACGGCGGCGGCGGTAACGGAGGAGGAGGCCGATGGCGGAGGGCGGCGGCAGAGGAGGCCGACGACGGCGGTCGAGGACGAGGCCGACGGCGGCGGCGGCGGCGGAGGAGGAAGAGAGCTACGGCGATGGAGGGGAGACCGACGGCGGCGGAGACGGGCGGAGGATAGCGCCAAGGGTCGGCAAACTCACCTTGATGCGGGAGACGGCCTCCTCGGCCTGCACCATGCGCGTGGCTTTGGTGGGCTGGCCGTCGCAGACGAGCTGGGTGGAGCCGAGGTACCGCGCCCGAAACAGCACGCCCTCGATCAGCACTGCAGGTCACCGGTACTGCGGCGGACAGGTCAGGTCAGGTCAGTGGCAACATAGGAGGGGAGGACACGTCACCAGTAACGCTAGAGAGACGGTTCAGGGCGCTGGCACTAAGGGGGACAGGTTAGGTTATCGGTACTGCGACGTAGACGGGTCGGGTCACTGACACCACGAGAGGGAGAGAGGCCAGGTCATCGGTACTGCGACATAGACGGGTCAGGTCACTGACACTACGGGAGGGACAGGCTAGGTCATCGGTACTGCGGCACGGATGGGTCGAGTCACTGACGCTGGGTAACGCCCTGACGCCGAGCGGTAAACGAACAAGCTTACTGACACTGACAACATAAACAAAGGAGTTCACTAGCTGATCACTGAGTTCTTTGCAGATCAGGTTCGCTCTTGCTACGGCAGTCCGGTCGCCGGCATCTGGCCTCCAAAGCGTTCATATTACTTTATGTTCCTCAAAACACGTCCGAAAAAAACTAGACATGTTAACAACTCAGCCACGGTGCATGCTCTACTCACCAAGGCGTTTTAGTTGATCCAAATCAGTTTGGAAGCGATAAGGATCGGAACAGTCCATCAGTTTATGCTACAGAAGAACGCAGCTGTGGTGTAAGCAGCATCAGCATAGGTTGACGTCCACGAATTAGTAGCAGTAACACAATATTTGGAACACCGAATACAGTAAACACGGGTTGCTGTGCAATATTCGCATCCCAATTATTGGACAAATTAACCGTGATACACCGTATACAAGTTTTATAGAAGCCCTTGTGGTGTGTTGACGCGTTATGCTGCGTATATTATGCATGCTTGTATGTTGCAGATGCTCGTGAGTGGAAAATGCGGTGCGACAGGCGTGACAGCGGTCACTGAACCCTTTCTTTCCAACCTTTCAAACCTTTCCAAACTTTGAGTGAAATTCACCCGACCTTGATATCTCGTCACGCATTGCAAGATGCTTATTTCCGCATCCGCGTCACCGTCTCAGCCTTTTCCGCTCCAGTATAAGTTGCACCACACAATGTGTGCATGTACGTCTGCTTCGTACCTGACTGGTGTGCGCTGTGCGTGTATATATCGTAGCTTGTGTTCTGATGTTCTGTGATATGCATGCCCATACATGACTCGTTAACACGACGTTAGGTTGCACGCGTAGACAGGGAAGTCCAAGTAGAAAGAACTCATTTACATGACTCTATCGACTTACCTTCCTTCGTTTTCGTTTTCTTTTTCACACCCTCTCGATCCTGGAAAAAAAAACGCATACCGATCGTAGCGATTCATTCACTACATCTACGCATCAAGTGTTGTCGACAGCTCATCCCATTCCTCCACGCTCAATTTCCGGCTCTCCGCAAGCGCTCTTCCGATCCTGCCGAACCCCAAGAGACACGGTTGACCAGTAGTCGCACATAATACACCACCAGCTGGCTGTTGCCCGTGGCAACACCGGACCTGCAGCAGAAGCGGCGACCTCACCTTCTGCGGGCAATCCGGCGCGGCCGGGGACGGCGGCGCCAGCTCGCCCGTCGTGTGCGACTTGGGCATCCGAGGTCTTGGCTTACGCCACCCCTGCAGAAGAACGACCTCTGAGCGGCGCGAGCACGGACACTGGGCCATGTGGGAGCACTGGCAGCGAGCACCACTGGCGAGCGGGGTCCGTGCTCGGGGACTGGCATTGCCTGATGACGTGCTGTGGTCGGTACGCCGAGGACGACGTCCCCCCCCCTTCGGTCTGGGCAAGATGGCCGCCAACGCACGCTATGCTAGGCGCAAAGCGTTTTTTCGTATCATGCAGCACGCAACGAGGTGGCTCGAGCCAGCCCGAAGGGAAGCGTACTCGGAAGGCTGAGTAGTAAACAGGCAACAGGACGCCAGAATGTGTCTAAGATTGGCGAGCTGTCTTCTGCGTCGGTTTTACGGGACGACAGATCCCGCAAAGCAAGGATACCTGAAGCCCGAGTGCAAACAACCGGGATGGAATGCGGTCAGCTTGCCTCTTGACCCGACGACACTCCAGGGCTGCCTGTTACGTCTGCTGCATGTTGCTTGCTATACAGACGCATCATCGCAGACACTGGTTACCCGGCTGCTGCAATATCCGAAACTAGAGCCAAGGAAGGGCACCATTCACACTGCACAGCTTTATACCCGGTTGTGAGCGACGGACGTGGGGTCCGGTGCCTGAAGCTCATCATGATCACAACACAGTAGCGCGTCGCCGACTGCCACCTCTGGCCGTCGACACCGACAGCCCAGTGGCGGCGCAGCAGGGGGGGGGGGGGGGAGTTACCCCCTCCTTCCGTAGGCAGGGGGCAAAAATGGTTTTTTTTCTCCCTCTGTTTCACACAAGGGGGCCACCGTTGAGCGGCCCCCTTATATAGAGGCCTATTTTTGCCAGGAAGGCCCCCGAAAACTCAAAATCTATTACGCCGCTCCTCCGCTCAGTCAGCTGGGGGCTCCCGTCGCGGCGTCGATTGACCTCCACGTGTCCCAGCGGCTGCCTTACATGGATCGTGACCCTTATAAATACCGCCGCCAGGGCCGCGCAGATATTATTACCGATGTGGCTGGCCAGCGAGCTGGGGAAGCCGTGCGTGAAGGCGAAACCTCTCATCAGGGCCGGCGAAAACATCACGCAGCCCAGCGTCGGGGCTCAGCCGCGTCCCGCCGGAGACCTCGGCGTCCGGCGTCCAAGAGAGCGTGGGGCGAGACGCCAGTGGGCACCCGTCGACGCCCGGTGTGGGACTACCCGAGCCTGCCCGAGGATATGCTCCGACCGCCGAACAGGGGTATGCATATACATGCACGCATGCGTGTGTTTGGTTTAGGCGTGGGGTGTGGGGATGACGATAAAGATGTAACCAAAGTAGTTTGGAATAAAGTAAAGCTAATTATTGCATATATGATATTATCTGTACGGTGAATGTAGCATACACATAAAGCATAATTCAGGACCTATTTGCAGTATAGGACAGCGAGCATAAGGACCAACACGCAGACTACTCGGCGCATGGGAAAGGTGCAAGAGCGCGGTGTGTCAGCGGCTCGTAATGCGTCAGCCGCGGTCCCCGCGGAGATCACGGTCGCCGGGATATGAGACGGGGAGGGGATAAGAGGGAGGGGGCCGCCGCTGAGCCGCCGGGGCTGTCTGGATCATCCTCCGACTCCGCCAGTGGCCAATCACCATCGCTAGGTCATCAGCCCGCCGCAAAAACGGCTGGCGCGACGCACGGCCAGCGCGAATCGGGCTGCGTCGCGGGCCGCGCAATGTGACATCACTGGGAGCCCGGCTGACCAATAGCGGCGTCGTGAACCGGCGTGGTGTGCCGTCACTGGGAGGCAGGCTTGCTCGAGGTCGGCCCGCAGACGGCCTCCGTGCAGAGGTCCGCAGGGTCACGACCCGACCCCAGAGGGGCAGAGGTAAAGAGGCAAACTGCAGCGGCGGTTAACATGGCAGACCGAAAGAGGCCGAGGCGGGGCTCTTGGTTAACGCCGGGCTTCAGGATCCAGCAGGGCGTCGCAGGACTGAGTGGCCTTGCTCGGAAACAGCAGAACAGGTGGGCTTCACTAATGCGCGGTGCCCGGATCAATAGCAGCCGGTACATTATTCAGCGGCATCCACTCGAAGAATGTCGTAATTTATCAGCAGAAAGCTGCAATACACCCAAACTGTAAGCAACAGGATCCGACAGACTCCTAATGTACAGAGCAATCCCCGGTGGGCTCGTTGGCACCTGCCACGGAGATCTTCAACAGAGGCCCAACATCCACCGGAATCAATACCGGCTCGGGTTCGCATCGGTCGTGTCATCATCCTCGGTCGGCTGGGGGCAGCAGCCGGGCAATCGGATCCGGTCGCCCGGCTCCCTGAAGGACGATGCGATGCCATCCCTCCCTTTTTAGATAGTCGTCCTGATGTGCGCATTCGTCCGGAGTCCCATTCCTTTGCTGGGGACGTCCGTGTGCGCAATCTCCCATCCACTGGACACTTTTCAATTTACCAGTTTACGAGGCAATGGACACTAAAGCGTCCGAGCAAGCTGTAAAACGCCCGCTGCGTAATCATTTGCGCTTCAAATTGGCACCAAATGGTCAAATAGCCAGCCATGTGTTACGACAGAACTGCTGAGGATCGCGTCGCCTTGCGTTTCAATTTGAAACGCAGGCAGTGAAACGAGTGTAAGCCCCTTTGCAGCCACTGCGGCGTACGTACAAGATCTCAGTGACGTGCATAACATATATATATATATATATATATATATATATATATATATATATATATACGTCACGTCAAGATGATCTACTGATGATCAAAATGAATAATTTACTGAAATCACAACGTTAGAATTTGAAACAATGTGACGTCTTACGCTGATACCAAGTTTGAATGCTGGCTAGTGTTTATCATTGTACGCTGAATATGTATTGTTATATCGACGGAGGAATGCTCCAGCCGCGCCTCTGTCGCAGCTGCGTGCGTGCCCGAGAGTTGCGTGAGACCAACGAAGCGGATAAGGTATGGCCCAAAGCGATGGCCCAAATTTGACGCTTAAAATGACTTGTGCCAGCTCTCGATTTCGTATCAGCGGCGGAGTGTGCGACTTACAATCCGAGTTGCTTCACTGCATTATTTCTGCCTTGCGAAGTTCAACACCATTACATATTTGCAAGAAGGGTATTTCAATCACGCTATTCACGGGCTGCAGCCGAAAGAATTTAATGACATGAGCCAATGCCGCTATTCTTATGAAATTATACGTACATTTTACAAGTGCGTAGATTTCAAGATGTAAAGAAAAAAACACGTGAAAGCACAACGTGGCGATACAAATCCAGAACACGTAAATACGACTCTCACCAAAAGCATAGGTTTACCCGACCGATGATAATATTGTATATCAATATGTGGCCAGACACTGGCCAAAAGACATGTCCACATGCAATATGACATGCAACATCGTTTATCAAACCGCAATTGGTCGTTTGTTAGCGCGTCTTAAAAACTCGCTGCCTCTGATCGCGTTCCTGGGTTTTACGATGCCCGACACATTCGGCGTGCCCCGCGATAAGCGAACTGTGAACTGGAACGCTCGCCAGGTCGACACATCTCTCTCGTATGCGAATCCGGTTCTGTCAGAAGTCATTTTGGTGGAAGTAGCATCAGAACACCCGGAGTCTTCACTTTCCTTTCGGGAGGGGGGGGGGGGGGGAGACAGCATGAACCCGAACCTTCTCGATATTTGAAGTGAGTGGCTCAACTTGAACCTCAATCTCAAAAAGTCATACATTCGGCCTCTGTGTTGATTCTGGATTGGTTCGTATTCATGCCTGTTGTCTGACTAATTCATATCGATAATTAGCCCCAGGGGCACAGTCCATTTCGCCAGAAAAAGTCTGCTGGGAATTCCCGTCACAACGCACGACCATTTTATGTAGTCCCTTTCCGAAATAAATTACCACAAAGAAACACGCTCCGCGTCTCCTCAGGCACAACTGCATCGTCAGAAGCTCTGTTATCGCCTGAATGACGCGTTTATAGATGCCCTGATACAGCACGAGCGCCAACAGCTCTGAACAGCGGGCCACAGAGCAGACGGAGAGTGCGGTTTCATCACAAGAACCATAGAGGTCCTTCGAGTTTTGCAAGCTGGCCGCCTGTTGTCCTCCACTGTCTCGAGGCTAGATACGAATCGCAAACCTGAATACAGAGCGACTGAGTGATGAAGAAAGAAGCCCATGAAGAAAAAAACCTACTGCATTTCTAACCGAATGTCGTATACAAACGGACGTAATTGATGCAGATACGAATGCCAAGGGATCGACTTACAAAAGGCAACTTCCATGCGTAAAAATGAGCCTTCTGAAAAAGGGAGACTTATCGTCGTGAAATTTCAATCATCGATTGTGCAGAACAACAGCAAGGAAAGCTCGCGAGTCATTTTATGCAATTCGGTGTATGACTCGAGAAAAACAACAATGTGCGAAATCGACAGATCTGGGAGAATCGCACAACACCATGGTGTTGCCTAAGTCGCCACGTTATCTTCAGGATAGAAGTAACGCATTTTATTATATTCCAGCTGTAATTAAGTAATGAGGTGGAATCCACTTATCAAAATTAGCATGTTGTTGTGTCATTACGCAGTGAAAGAAGCATCCTTGGACATAGGCATAAAGGGGAGGGGGCCGTCGCACCCCAACCTTCTCAGAGTGCTGAACATGAACCCTACGACGGCCCACGGAGAGAATTGATGAAAAAAAACACGTTCTGAGACGTTGGCTCGCCCATGCCTATGGAGATCGCTTTTTAGTCCCATTCCTCATCAGGTGGTTGGGTTAAGACCGTAACGCTGCTCTCAGTTCAGAGCCATTTTTATGTTGATGAGCATTCTCTCATTGCGTACCACGACAAATAATAAAAGCTGTGGAGGGGCTGCGCGATTTAAGAACTGCCTCTGCACAAGCGTCTAGCGCAGCGCTGTCTCTGCACACAAGCGTGTGTTCAGATGTAGATCTAGAAAAACGATGGCACGTTCAGAAAAGTGCGTATTGCATGAGCCTAGTAAGTAAATCTCCATGCACCAGGTAAATGAGATATCGAAGTATTCAGACTAATCCGCCAAGAATTGGACCCAATCATGAGACTGTTGAGGAGTTCAAAGTAGTTTGGAAACTTAAAAAGCGATCATTTAACTGCTCGGCGGCATGATGCGCATCACATCTGAGCCCGTACCCACCATAGCCGGTCCTGCAGCTGGATACGGCGCCACCCCTTCACGTGGGAGTCGGCGGTCATATTCGTCAGTATACTGATGCATTCCCTCTCTCGCTGATGCTCAGCGTATGAGGCCACATCACCGCTTTGCCTATTGCGCGTGTTGGGTACTGAATGGTGTGTGCCTATATGCTAGAAATGCCATTTCTGAGCGCCGTGTTGGATGTTGAGCGCCGCTTGAGAAGAAAATCTCGCGCAGCGCGATGCCGCTTTTCAAATTTAGGCTGCGTGGCGGAGCCGTTCTTCCCACCCACCCCCCCCCCCCCCGACAAATGTCAGCTCTTCTTAATGCATAAGAGTGCATGCAGTGCGGCACCCCGCTTTCAATTGGACGTACCTATGCATCTGAAAAAGCTCTAAGATAGGCTCGAACCAATTCGTTCTTATTTTTGTTCAGATGTTCTATCGCTTCATGTGTTTATCCCCTTCCTATGACACGGCGACGCCAAATGACCACGTGAGTCAGCGCCAAAACTCGGCGAGGATCTGTACCTTGTCCTGGGCCGTCTCCTCGGAGGTCTTCTTCTGGCCGAGCAGCCGGTCCGTCTCCTGGTCCGTGTCCGGCTCCTCTGCAAGCGGAGGCCACGCTCAGACACCGTCGACGGTCGGCGACTCTGTTGAGCCGCGTGCGACGGCCAGTGGACCCAGATGGCCCCCGGCTGAGCCCCGCCGATCCCGGCGTCGGCAACGACGCACCGAAAATGGCGGCCGGCGTGACCATACGGCTCGACGGGGGATCGTTCCCAGAGCCGGCAGAAATCTGATACCGTTCTTATTTTATCCCGGGTCACGTGAACCACTTTGGGGGTTAATGTTCGTCAAAATGAGCTTCTTATCTTTCATGAAATTTCATGGACATTCTGTGTGATGCCTAATACATACCAAGTGGAAAGGCCAACCCGGCACACTTGTAATTCCACGTTGTGATCATGGAACCCCGTAAAACATCACGGATCATATCATACTGACGATTAATTTGTGTCATCTTGAGACCAGCGAGCTCGTGTACGGGTCTCTAACAGTTGTCCTAAAGATACCACCACTGGGTCTGCACTTTGCTCACTCATTTCATACATTTCATAGCTCAACATTGAAATATCACCTGTGGAAACCCGGTGAGAAAAATGTCTAGGCTCAAAAAGAATGTAAATCACCGAGAAATGTATGTTTGAAAGAAGTGACGTCATAGAAGAAAGCGCATGTCGCAACACATGTGATCTTCCTCGTATTTATTAAATACATTAATTGACATGAATACGGAACTGCTTGTAGGTGCGCGCTGCTATCGCCTTTAGTGGGATATTCTTTGTGGCTCTACTATTCACACAACCTGTGCTTTATTTAGGTGTATTAATGCATACGAAGCACGCAGCCTTCCGCATTGTAAAAATGATAACAACTTAAATCCACAAAAGTGAGGGCATCCAGTGGAGAAAATGTTCTCGGTATCCCGTTTTGCATAAATTACCAGGAGAGGCTACTTAAATTGACCCTCCGAAAAATGCTAATATGGGAGTCATGCTTTCCATTTCTGCAAAACGCTGATCGAATGCGATATACCTTTATTCAATGTCGCCTGCTGTCATAAAACCCAAACACATTTTTACCATGTGCTGACAGATAAACATGAACTACGATGCTGGCGTTCATTCCTCTCAAAGAGTACACAATCAAGCCAGCCAGATATCAAAGTGAACGGGCTTCCGCAACCAACACAATCATGTGTATCTCGCAATACCTATCTGCCCGATGACCTCCGTAGCATTTCCTCAGACCAGAACGAAACAAATCAACCCTGCCTCGTCGTAAGTGCCCGCCTCTTGGAAACCGAGGGTCGTGCTGTCTGATGAGTTGAAAGAGTTTCACATCAGCAGGTCAATGCAGGCTTGGCGAAAATGCCCGGAGGTACAGCAACTCAGCGGCCAGGCGCAGGAGCGGGCTCTCGCGGCGAGCCGTCTGACTGCGCCACTCGATCCGCCGGCGGCTGCTCACTACAGACCGTCCAACTGCGCCATTCGATCCGCCGACGGCTGCTCGCCACAGACCGTCCGACTGCGCCATTCGATCGGCCGGCGGCTGCTTACCACAGACCGTCCAACTGCGCCACTCGATCCGTCGGCGGCTGCTCACCACAGACCGTCCGACTGCGCCATTCGATCCGCCGACGGCTGCTCACCACAGACCGTCCGACTGCGCCATTCGATCGGCCGGCGGCTGCTCACCACAGACCGTCCAACTGCGCCACTCGATCCGTCGGCGGCTGCTCACCACAGACCGTCCGACCGCGCTACTCGATCCGCCGGCGGCTGCTCACTACAAGCGGGCTAATGAACGGACAGGTGGACACGCTGGTGACCATGACGCGCCCGCCACCAGCGAAAGAGGAGGAAAAGTATTCCAGTCTAAGATATTTTGGCTCTTACTACCGATAGATGTTGGTTCGAAAGCGCACTTCCACAGGGAGATATTAGATATTCCACTCGTGGCGATCGACTAATTTTTCCTTAAAGGAACGCTTGCCATGTTTGGGAATATTGTGAATGTGCCCTGAAATGTATTCGAGGGATTCAGTACAATTTTTAATCATAATCAAAAGGCTCACAAATGTGCTCATCACAACAGAACACTGACATATTTTGGTTATCATGTGACTCCGGAAAATGGAATCACCAATACTGCTTGGAAGCATTCCGCTATTGACACAAAATAGGCGCATTTCAGCGGTCCGCGAGTAAAAGATAAATGGATCTGTGCGTTACATTTGTTATGCACCGGGAGGCAGCAAGCATAACTATTGGGATTGCTAAGCATCGAGAATGGAAGGAGGGGCGGGGCTTACGTTCGAAAGACGAGGGCGAAGCCACAAATAGGCGGAGCAACGAGTTTTCGGGGGGGGGGGGGGGGGGGGCGCGGTAGACGAAGAGTTATTTGGCTTTCGTGGCGCAGTGAATGCGCCATCTAGAAGCTTACAAATTTTTCGCAAATACAGCCTCTGCGAAAATACTGATCAAGAACACTTGGCTTGTAAACACAGCTAATGCTATGCAAACTTTCCCTTGCCTCAAACTACGAACCCTTTGAACTCTTCAAGTTGTTAGTAGCATACCTCCACTGAGTGCTCTAACTTCCAACAGATGGCTGTCCCTATTGCGTTACTGCAATAAATCACGGACAAACCCCCTGAAGGACATATCAATGAAAAAAGCTCAAACCTACGACGTCAATTAATCTCTACCAAATAATATTGATCGCAAACCCCCATTAATATATCACATGAAGGAAAAGCAGTCCCGGATCTGATCCCTTCGGTCCCTGACCAAAGTTTTACTGCGAATGTTGGATTGAGTACAGGCTCCGCGAGCTATAAAAAGCCTTTTGAAATATTAATTTTAGTTACTGGGCTGAAATTGAAACATTTAAGGTTTGTGCCAACGACAGCAATCACCCATCATCATTATCCTGTACACCATCATCATCATCACTTTAACTTAATAGTGATGTAGGGGATTTTCAAGGTCAATTTCGTAGAAAGGATCGAACCTGGATGAAGAAGTTCAGCCAATATGTGCGAATTTTGGAAAACAGGCTTAGCAAAGTGAATCGGTCACGGATAATCTTACACATCTTAGTTCTGCTCCACTTTGATAGTAAAGGGATAAACAATGACGTCAGAGACCAAAAAAAAAACAGAAAAATTGCGATAAAAATGTCAAGTCACCGTTAAAAAATGATAAAATTGGCTTTAGGAAAATGATGCCTTATAAAGATGCTCGCTTCTCAAAGATGCATGATAGGTTGTGCTTGATGGGTAGAGGCTTACGCACAAACTAAAAGATAAACATCACAGTGTGATCATTATCTGTTCTTGCTTATAATGACATATATTAAGTAATGGTCAGGTCATGGCGCAAGGTTGCTTTAACAATATTTAATCTACAGCAGCAAACTAGCGACATAAGACCTTGCCACGCTGGTGGGCGGTGATATGCAGTATCATATCATATCCCGACAGGTTACCAAAAAGGATTTTACATCACCTTATGTAGGATATTGCCATCATGTCATAGACGTCCACCTAACACCGCGCACCACAAAATCCGACAACAAAATGACAAGGAAGGAAAAAATCCTCGTTGTAGATTTTCTCCACGTGTTTCCGCCACTCAGTTTTGCCATGTGCGAGCTACTTACAACATTTAGTTTAAAACACTCAGCATCACGGCATTAACGCAAAGCAAGCATATCACAAACACAAGCACCCACCATCGGAGGAGGACTCGTAGCGTATGTAGAGGCCGTAAATCATCTCAGCGAACGGCGTCCTGAAATACTGTGATGCTTTTTTCCGTGCTGGTCTGGCTGGCACGGGTCGAATCGGGGCGTCACACAGGCTCTCCAACTCCCGAAACGCGTATTCGAATCACTTCCGCCGCAGGCGATGCCCAAGAGCTGCGAGGAGCCGACCACCTCCCTCCGAGCCTCGCGCCCGTCCGCCCAGACGGCCGACGGCAGCCGGCGACGACCGCTCCCGAGGTGTGGGCACCTGGCGCGCGCCCGGCCCGCACCTGCGGCGCTGCCGGCGTCTCAGTGACGTCTCCCGGCGCGGGACGGCAACGGTAGCGGCGCGGCGGTGGCGCGGCGGCGCGCCGCCGTCCCTGCGCCGCCGCCGCTCGTCGCCCGGTGGCTGGGCATGTGGTAGCAGCGTGTGCCGGGGAGGCCAACGGCGGCGTGAGACTGCAGGACACCCGCGGCATTGGCCTGGTGAAAACCAGCACGCACCGCCGCATTTTTTATATGAGATCTGTGGTCTCATCTGGGCCGGCCCTCCCGTTCAGAAATGAATAACGTCCGCTGACGTGTGCCAGTACATTACGACAAACAACGCGGAGGCAGGCCCGAGCGACACGCTCTGAGCGGTGAGAATAATAGCGAACCACACGGTGGCCGCGTGCGGCATTTGCAGCTTCTTCACTGCAATCTACCGCCCCAGTTAATGCATACCAATGTACAGCTGTGATGGACAGAACGTATTATTCTCCATTGTGGTTCCCGAGGCTGGGAGCCAATAGAAAATAAGTCCTTTCTCTTGGTGTGGGCCTACATTCCCTACCCGTCAATTATCAGTAATGGAAACTTAGATGAACAAAAAGCGTCGCTGAACTCGTTCGCGCAAAATTCAAATAATTTGCGTCATGCGTAACAAGCAGCTAAGGGCATCTCAGCCAGTCGGTTTTGAAAAGAGCTGGGCTTGCCAAAAACGTCCTCCAACTTTATGATGTATCGATCAAGGAAACCATCGTAATTTTGTCTTTTTTAACTTCAATAGAGTTATGAAGAAAACTTAGATTTTGCATATTTTTGCTTGGTATCAAAGGCTGCTGTCATGCTAACACACGGCACAGACGTACGGTACAGTCACAGCACCTGCCTTCAATAGAGTTTGGGTCAACCAACACTCCAGAAATAACTCATGCCAATGAACGAACAGCCAAAGAACGGAAAGGTGCCAGTAAAATCATGGGATGTGGCGAATATGCTTGCCTAAGTAGTTGAAATTAACTTTAAATTGAACCTAATCTAACTAGCTGGCAACTAACTGCACTAGAACGCCGTGCTTGTCGCAAAACTGACCTCAGTGCAGTTTGTTTTCTTCCGTCATAGGCAATCATACTTACTGATGGCGCGCAGTTCTAAGTTGAGTGTGATCACCGCGTTTTGGGCTGACACCACCATGGCCATGGTCTTCCGTTGCTGGTGCGATAAGAAGCATTTCCACCACTAATGTTAGGGTCCAATATCTCTTCACGTATCGATGTTAAACAAAACAGCAGTCATGATGTGCACACGCATGGTCAACAGATTCAATGACATGATGCAAAATGATGCCCCGGTTCACCATTTGGGAAAAAATAAGAAGCCAATGAGTCCAAATGATGTTTTAATTAATATGAAGGACGTACGGCTGATAAGTGGTTTAGAAAGACATTGCCGACGCATCCCGATTTTGGATTTCTGAAATGTGAGTTGTGGACTTGTTGATAACGCATCACCAAGCGATTACCCCCTTGCTTTTCTTATGATGAACTCATCCGCCACATGTAAATCTTTATACAAATTAAGAGGCAGAAAAGCCCGTTCGTAATTTGAGTGTTCACATGGCCAAAAAATGTAAAACGTCATTATCTTTTCGGACCAGGGTGCCAGAGGACGGAGGTACGTGCGGCGATGGGGTGACAAAGCACGGCGAATGTAAAGTCAAGTATTCATAAACGAGTCAGTTTGTCGTTCTACGTCCTGCTGAGGTCTTTGTAGAAACCAAAGCGTAAAGGAATGCATCTGAATGAATGAACTCGTGAGGCTTACGGTCCGAACTACCGCTTGGGAACGAAAAGAAGGAAACTAAATGACCGTCACCTCGCAATATTTCAACACCTTTAAAGGCAAAGCTTAAACTGCCGGTTGTCTATGGTTCCGTAATCATGCCAACGGCTTGGTCACTTTTCGTGCGCTCAATGTGTGCCGCTGTACGTCATCGTCGAGATAGGGCGTCAATAGCATGCCATTGAGAAACTTTAAGCGATGCTGTGTCCTGTCCAGCTCGGACTGTGCAATGAATAAGAGCACGGCGGCGCTAGCGTCCAACAGCGGTGCGGTAGCCGAAGCCGGTGCCCCAGGTGGCGGTCCACTCAACCCCAGCAGCGTCCCATCCTCGAGAGACGCCGCAAGAAGTGCAGCATGCAGGCCCGGCGCTGAGTGTTCGAACGCTGCGACCCGCTCCGCTCCTCTGCCGCCAAAGGCGCCGGTGACGGAAGCCGGGTCGAGCAAGGCCGCACCTGCCACCCGACCCGACCCGGCGCGGTTTGCCCTCAGACCGGATCCAGGAACTATTTACCCAGAGAGATTGGTTCCGCGTCTCCGATGTCATAAATCGCAACGGAGCGGACCAAAAACTGAATTAGCGACGCGCCATCCATCGCGGTGCCGGCGGCTGTTCTCCCGGGAGACCGCGCCGCCGCCAACACCGCCGCCAGGCGGCGATTAGGGCGGTGTTACCCGGCCATCGGCGGCGCCGCCGACACCCACCGTCGTCAGGGGGGATGGTGGCGCGCTGCCCGGCCTCCCCGCCACCACCGTCACCCGCCGTCCGGCAGGGAATGGAGTTGCCAGGCTATCGGCGTTATTATCACGACACTCACTGCCTTCAAGAGGGAGGGAATGCTGACGTTTGCCCACTGTCGACAAGACAGACCGGAACCGTCAGGATCCGGGGGTCGATTAGCCGTCCACAACCGGCGCACAGGCCACAGCCGTCGCAATGCCTCCGGAGGAGCTTAATGCGGCCAAAAAATAGGTCTCATTTCAACAGGTGGATTTGGAAGAGGCTGATCGTGTGTCACGGTTAACTGAATACGCAGATCAGAAAGGCATCAAAGTACAAACAGCAAGGCCTCTATGACGAGAAGTTTTACTTTGCTTGAATGACATATTTTACCCTCATTCTGACAGCGCTGGGTACCAGTATGACCCAAGAATGAATTAAGCTTGTCGATATAAATAAAAATCAGCTTCTAAACAAACAATTTTTTCTCTTTTTTTCTCTGAAAGCGATTATTGATTGGCACGGCGTCTTTGGGACGTAATCTTTCCGTTTGACAGTTTAAAAAACGGCATACGTTAAAAAGTGCATAGACACGGATTGATGTCATTAGAAATACCATTGATCTGAAAATTAAAACCTCACAAAGAGATCTTCCAAAAACCCGATCCCCATAAATCCATGCGGCACGGGTTTGGTGGCAACCCCTTGATGGCGACTCCTCACCCCTATCCATGAGAAGCGAGGGGTAATGTTGAGGGAGCAAATTCCACGTTGGGCTTACGATGAAACAGGAGTTAACTGACAAAATTTCCTTTCTTGACGTTTTTGCGCGTGAAAAAGGCGGTCGCCCACTAGAGCTGCTACTCCTGCGCCCATACTCCAGCAAAGCGCGGGCCGTTAAGGCCGCATGACTCTCAGCGGATATTGCTGGCAAAATGCAGTTTTTTTGCGAGCTTTCAGAATAAAAAAGCTTAAGGATATTATTCTTCAAATAATAAACAGCATTCAAAATGTTTGGATTTGAATATTTGTTTGCATACACTGGTTCAAGTCGCACATTTTTTTAAGGCATGACTCGTCGGCTCATTTGGACGGGCTTACGAAAGGACTAAAAGAAATATTGATTTTAGGATAAATTTTTAGAAATCTGGCTTTCCTAATATGAAAAAGCGGAAACTCGATCGCCATCACGGTTCAGTGTACCAAAAATCTTCTTCATCCGGCCTTGGCATGACATTTTCAGCTGAAGTCCGTAACAACTTATGGACATATAAGCATACATGACATATACCATATAGTAATATAATATACCATTAATAAGTGGAATGCATAGAGCACAAAAATGCAATATGCTATATATAAGCACGCATGTAAAATAGTTTGATATATTCACGCGTGTAAGTCCTCAAGCACAATCGTCTTTCCATTAGTTCGAAGAGAACGCAGCCGGTAAGATCAATAACGTTTCTTAATCTCTCAAGCCAGTTAAAAAAAAGCCGGTGACACCCACACGAGTCCAGAGAGATGTTTTATTGTTTTTGGGTGCGTTCTAACTGAAGAGTTTCTCGACTGAAAACATAGGTTTGTTAACATTACGTGGGTTACTTGGTTGGGTATGTCAGTCACGGCACAAAAAGATGCCTCCTTTGGTAAGGAGCGCACACCGAACATCAGCCATCGAACTTCGCAGGCCTTGGAGACGGACAGGAATCGGACTGCGAAAACGAACAAACATTTTCTGCCATACCCAGCGTGGTGTGCTGGGGCGCCAAAGACACCAGTCTGCTCGCCGTGCCTGCTTTATTGTGCAGTGTAGAGACCTTTCCATCACAGAAATTATTCTATCTTGGGCGTTTGCTAAGCTATACTTGGAGTATCCAGGACCTGCATGAGTCCAATGCGTCACGGAAATAACCTTTAAAGGTGCCTTCCACTTATTAAAGAATTCTCTCATTGTTAAAAGATAAATGGGGAATAATATTCAAGTTAGGAAACTGCCAGCTACTCTTATTGGATATCTTCAGAAAATACACCGACAAACAATAAAAAAGACATCAACAAAATAGCTGAATTCCGTACAAATTTCGCATCCAAGCAAAACCAAGACAGCGAAAATCCTCCCCATCCACATCCCGGTTTCCAGGGGCACGAAAGATCTCACGGAGAGCCAGCCAACAGACGAAATTGCGAGCGGTTATGTGGACGCCAATTGTTCCTGTCAGGCTGAAATATTGGTCCGAACTTATTGCGGTGAACAAAACGTCGGCTGTCTGATCGCAGGGTCCGGGCACACAGGCCCTGGGGCGGTGAGGAACCGCAGTCGGACAGTGTGGAAGGGTATATTGTACGGTCTGCCGGCGTGAGAAGGTACTACGGCGTGACATGGAGAGAA